TAAGTATATCTGTAAAGAAAAGGTACTTTTACTTATATTTTTGTGTATTGGGGGATTCCCAGTTTTGCTGATTGGTGTCTTTAACATAATTTCTTTAGAAAGCATTAGAAAGAACAGCTGAATAACTTGCTTTGGGATGATTAAGGCAGAAAAGTACAAGAGACACAGAGATACATAGCTGTTTTATTTTGTCTTGCTTGAAAGGACAATTCAGATTAAACTAAGATTCAATCTACAACCAATTAAGCCAAAGGGGGACCATTCAAATGGGTTGTATAAAGTTAGCTTTCTAATGCCATTTTTGTTAGATTTAATTTCGCTAGTTCCTTTTCCCCAAGTGAAGTAAGACAGACCTGTTCTGTCAATCTGGGTTTTCACCCTGACTGTAGGTTCTTGAGTACTTTTATCCAGCCCCAAATGGTATCCTCTGACATCCTTTCTAAGAAAGCTTTTGCCCTCATCCCTTAACTCATTCTCTGGTGTTTTAGACTGGTGTTTAGACTTTTGCTCTGCTCTCTCATTATCCTTGCTCCCCTTTCACGCCACTAGGCAAAAACATTATCGGTCTAAAACCTGGCTTAGAAGGGAAGATCCAAAGGAGAGCATAGAGGATAAAGGATAAGTTAAGAAACATATGCTATTGGTCTTAAGGGTCTACTAAAGAGACATGAGACTTGGTAGTGCTTTGACAGTCAGGGAAGCTACTACTAGGAAGAACTGTGAATAGCGTCTGGTTGGGAAAGGAGGTAGTTTTGAGTAAAGCTCTGGAGAAGCCCCCCTTTTCTCACGGGGTTGGGAAGCACCACAAAACCACAGCTGAAAGGAAAAAGAAAACTCCACCACTGGCCTTTTTCCGAGCGTGGCCGCCTTCCGCTCGGCTCAGTGCCCGCCACATGCCCAGGAGTGCGTCTGGATCCTTGAGGGGCTCCCTTCGCAGGTGACAGTGCTTACGCTATACTGTAAGAGAGCCAGAAAAGTGCCCATGAGAACCAGAAAGCAAACTTCCAGCTAGCAGGAACATCTCTCTAGGCATCTAAGATGGGAGGGGGGGGTATCAACACAGATATCTGGGCAGCATCTGAATGCCAGGAAAAGTGAGGGAGAGATAATTCCCCCCCACCCCAGTTCAATATAATGGTGATGGAAAAAAGTATTTTATGTGATGTATCTGCTAGGAGCAAGACAGAAAAGACTAAGTCAAAGCCAAATGGTGGGGGAAAATGTCTTCACTTCCAATAGACGGAAAGAAATAACTAAGAGAAGAAAATGACCTAGGGTCTAAATTTTGTTATATAAGAAAGTCTGCTATGCTGGCCTGGAGAATTAGAGCTTATGAACGAAAGCAACTCGTTCTACCACTTGGGTGATGCTGCTCTTAGAGGAAAGTAGAGACAGAAGGAAAACCTTCATTCTAAGATATAAAACAGTAAAGCATAAATACACCAAAAATAAAGAGCTGATATTTTCAAAAGTCATGATCTTATAAGTCAGACAAAAAAGAAAAGCGCAGTAGACATTAGACTTTGATGTAAGAGATCTCTGGCATTTCACAACCTTTCCGATCTTTTTTAACTACTATGTTTATAAAATGCTTGATATGGCCCTGCCTATTAAATAAAACAAGAATTAGAAGAATGTTCTAACAGATCAAAAGAGTTTTATTTTTGCTCTGTTGAGGCAGAACTCAATTCCTGCAAATTCTGCTTATCAAACTCAAAACCTCAATCTTCCTAAGGAAAAAAGAAAGGGTACCATTTATCTGTTGGAATACTGTAATAGCAGAGGCACTTCCAAACTTTCAAGTAATATGCTTCTTAATTCCGGATGGGAGTGTGTCTGAAGAAGGTGGTTTGTGGCACCATCTCCTTCTCTAATGAACCATTGTTAAATAGGGTTTCTACTCAGAAAGGTTTGCTGGGTTTTCCTCAGATTCCAAGTGACTGGGGAAAATGGAAACCACAGGAACTCAAGAAAATCATTCCAGGACACCAGGCTGATTTTATCTTGATCCTTTTGAAATCAACCCAGTATCAGAGATGGACCTCTCACATATATACACTTCCCTGGCTTAGACTTAAGAGAGTAGGCTCCCATTCTGGAAAACACAGTAACTAATTATTTCTTGGAAAATTTCAGTTGGCAGACTAAATGACCAGAATGTACTTTGGGCTCCAGCTACCTCAATTTTCTAGGATAAATGCTTCTTCAAATCTCTTCCCAAGAATCTGGTCAGAGTATGTCAACCTCTCTTGTCTGTCCATTTAACAGAGAGGGTTAACAAACGATCTGTGTTCTTTCCTTCAAAATTAGAAATTCTTCCACTTAAGCTCCAGGACTAGGACCTGGCATCCAAGGAAGGTGGTACGTCTGTTTGTCAAAGGGAGCAGACTGGTAAATCTTAAAGATCACATGGGACCAGTCTTCCATGTGAGGCAATAATAAATGGCTCACAAAGACAGTGTGGTAATTTGAGGGGACAGAGGGACTAGAAACAACCAGATTTGGTTGTCACCTGACACCGGGCCGCAGGAACCAAAAAGATCAAAAGATTACCAGAACACAAATGATTAGACACCAACTCTCAGATTTCTCATTAACTTTAAGTTTTAAGGAAGTGGGACCAGAAAGCAAGGTTCTTCCACTAGGATAAAACTAAAATGTGAAGCAACTCCAAAGGAATGGAAAATGATTTGTTCATTCATTTACAAGAACGGTTCCTACCTTGGCCTGCAGGGTGTTCTAATAATAATAGGAAGAGCAGTGTCCTACCAGTTTCATCAGTACAGATAGTTGGCTAAATCCTGGCTGGGAAGCCAGGTGCTATATTTTCATGTAAGGGAAGGCAATGGCTAGTGGAAAGAAATTAGTGACCATGTGAAGGAACCATTTGAGATTCAGACAGAATGTAAGACAGCAGGTACTCTGGACCCAGGGGCAAAAATAACTTGGTAAAGGCCATAAGAAGAGGAAAGGAGAGAAGCAAGGTACTACATCTGAGGAATGGATCATCACCCTCCATCTATAAAGAGGTTACTGAAAAGGGGTGAATTTTTATCATTTTTAAATAAACATAAGGAATTGGATTATTTAAACAACGCAAATAGCCTCCAAAGGGTCCAAAGCACTGCAATCAACTCCAGAGACCTGGTCCAACCCTGTACATCACATCCTAAACCTGTGAGTCATATGCCTTAGTACTAGACCATCAACATCAGGTCACTGTATTATAGCCTTTTTATGTAGCACAGCATGCCTGATAGCACATTGCCAGTAAGCTAAGGTGTGTGTGTTTTAGTCTATTCCCGTCAGTGGCCTAAATCAAATGCAAAACGCTGCACTTCTGTTTAATTTTAGATTTCAAGGCCCCAAAAGATGAAGAAAATGAGGGACTAGAATTTCAAAAAGATCTCAAGAAGTTTATACAATAATCGGCTATGCCTGGATGAGAACATGGTATTGGCTAGAGAAGGGATCAGAGCCCAAGTGGAGCTGTTATTGGACAGTTAAAACATGCACCAAGGTACATCTCTTGTAGGAAGGTGCCAGACTTACATCTGGGCACCAGGAACACTGGATATCATTCAGGGAAGGCATCAGACCCTCAACTTTATTCAAGCAGTAACTTGAATGTGATGAGGTTCCTTTGCTTTGTCACTCTTCCTCCTTAATATCCAAGAGAGGCAGAGACTGTGAATAAAAAATTTTTATCTAGGAGACTGCAATAACTGCAATCAATCTATGCATGGCTCTCAAAAAGCTTTCTCCTAACCAGTGGTTGCTCCTATTGTTGAGTCTGACATTTTATAGAACAATGACAATTACAATTAGGCCTTCAAAATGGTCCTTAACCTATTATATCCCAAATCTCAATGTGTTTTCAACAGAAGGAAATTCATTTTCAACAGCGATCTCATATTGTGAGAAAATATAAAATTAAAGGAAGATTTGTCGGAAGTTCTTTTTCAGTAAAAATCCTAAGCCCAGTAGGAGAGCAAACTCAAGGTTTTGAGTGTGACTGGTTAGTCCATGGACAATTTCCCATATCTCAGAAGAGGTCTCTAAGAGGTGGCTGAGCTGGGGGAAATTCTAAAGATTTGCAGTTCTTCCAGTGAAGCCCTGACAAACCAAATATATTTCTTACATAAAGACCAAGAGGATTTTCCCTCCTCCTGTTTTAGGATCAAATTGTTCTTTGTAAAGTGGCGACACTGGGCCTGGTGAAAGGCCCACTCAGCAGGAAACTGACAATCTCAAACCAATAGTTTGTTTTTTCTCCATCACCTTAAAGCATATAATAGGAGTACGGGGACAAAGAGTCAAAGACAAAGGATCAGTTCCTTCAAACAGAAATGCACACAGCGGTATTTAACAAGTGCAGATTATTTTCAAAATTAACGGGGAGTATGATCAGGAAGGTGAATCATCTGCACATGCACTGAATTTGATTTCTGGAAAAACATTAAGAGGTAAAACGACCAGCTAGGCTTATAACTCAGAGGCAGAAACTTGTTTGATATGTACTAAGCTTTGATAGCCGCGTTCTCAAGGCTCTGCCCTCTCACCACTTCTAATAACTCCCCTTACTCTTATCCCAGTACAACCGAGCTGGCAAAGAGGACAGCAAGAGACCCTGGTCTAAACTCAAAAATGTTTCCCAGACCGCGCGACTTCCTCCAACAGCAGCAGGTCTAGCTCCATCTCGGTCCTCTGCAGATCCCAGACTCCATCTAGCTTTTCTAGTCTCCACCCTCCCCCTCCCCTTCGAGGCTCCACCTCCCCCGACCCTCTCCTCCAGGCGCGCCTCCCCTCTCCCGGACTTTCACAGCCACGGGGGACATCGGCCTCTCGCTTCCTACCGCACTCCTGCCTGCTGGGCCTCGGTGCCCAGATCTCCATTGGCTCAGACTCCCTTTGCCCCCGGCCGGTCCGGAGCTGCGGCCAGCGGAGAGTACGGCCGGCCCAGGTCCGACCCATCCTCGTGACGGTCCCGCCTCACTCACCCTCTGTCACCTCGAGCACCTTAATCTGTTCCTCGGCAGCCGCTCGCACCTCCTGCACTGGGGACAGGATTCCGGTGAGGGTATCCACCAATGCCTCCTTCAATCCTTGTGCCACTGGACCCGGCAGCCCGGAGGCCGCACCACCCGCTGCCGCTGCCGCCATCTTTCTTCCCTTCAGCCCGCCAGCCCCGCGGCCGGGACCCGCCACTAAATGACGGCTCCCGCGCGCGGCCAATCCGCGAAGCCGCGCCTGCGCACCAGAGCAGGGCGGGAGCGGAGAAGGGGGTGGGGAATGGGCCTAAGCCTCCAGAGACAGCGCCTCCTGTCGTATGGACGAAAACTGCACCTTTTCGCGCAAGAATCACTTCACATGTATGTGAAAACTGAGGTTAGGGGGCTTTTCTAAAGTGGAACAGCAAGTTAGCAAACTCACTTGGAACAAACGCCATGATATAGGACTTTAAATTCATGGATCTTTCAGGTATAAGATACTTTGTTAGGAGAGAGGAAGTGGGGGCGCCTGGGTGGCTCAGTTGGTTAAGCAACTGCCTTCGGCTCAGGTCATGATCCTGGAGTCTCTGGGATCGAGTCCCGCATCGGGCTCCCTGCTCAGCAGGGAGTCTGCTTCTCCCTCTGACCCTCTTCCCTCTCGTGCTCTCTATCTCTCTCATTCTCTCTCTCTCTCAAATAAATAAATAAATAAAATCTTTAAAAAAAAAAAAAGGAGAGAGGAAGTGAAATGGGAATTGGTGCAGAGAGCTTTAAGGAGAGAGGTCTGGGTCAGAAATAGCTATTTTAAACCAGTCTTTCTCCCCCACCCCAAACACTGAAAAAAAACCGTTGGCTCAAGTGAGTGTCTCTTCATCTCAGCCTCAAGAATTCAAAGGTGGGGAAAAAGAAACAAGTGGACTGGGCAGTGGGGAGTGGTCACCTGCAAAAGAGCCAGTCCCTTGGCTTTCCAGCTTAGTTGAGCCCAACTTCAAAATTGTGGAGTGTCTGACCAGGAGAGGGCACCTGCGTGGGGAAGGGTATTTCCTCCAGAGTAAGTACTTGAATGACTATTTGAGAATGAATCCTATTCGCCGAGAACATATAAATTTTTTTTCCCCAGAGAAATTGTGGCTGGACATTTAAGGAGTGAAGTTTAATATGGATATCCTAGGGCTGGTCGTAGGAAATGGTTGAAGGAATAGAGATGATGCTAAATACTGGAGCAAGTGGAGAGGATTACCCAGAGGGGTTAAAAATGCAGGGCAGAATGTAAATAAAACAATACATTTCAAATTTTAAAAAATGCACGGCAGGTTGGCAAGCACGTGGTGGCAGAGGGGTAGAATGGCATGTTTTTGGAGTGGGAGGCTCTAGAGCAAGAGGAACAGGTAATTTTTAGCAAGCTGTTCAGGTTGAGTGCCTTAAAATGGTTTCTAGGAACTCTAACTCTCATTCCCAAGTGGCAGAGGAAACCAGATGGCAATTCCTAGCCTAGTTCTAAGACTATGGCTGCTAAATTGATAGTGATCTGGGGGTGTCACTTCATCTGAGTATTCTTCCTAAAGATTTATTCCTTGATTTGAGGACAGCTCTAAACACATTCGTCATTTCCCATGTGAGAGGACAGGTGGGTTGTTACCAAAATTTCATAGGGAAAAGATTGCTTCTTGGACCTTGACATTCCAAAGTAGGGAATAGTAGGACTTCTTTTCTTGTTCCATTAGAGCAGCTTCTTTTTTCCTGGGTTAATTCACTTTTACCCCTGGAAGAGAACAGGAAAGTCCAGAGGGTGGTAGATTTTCAAACATTGTGGCAGTGGATGGAGGACTCAAGAATCCTGAATTTTGGGCTGGTGAAAGATGCTATGTCCACAGTGTGCAAGTAGGGAACTCCCCAACCCCCGCCCCCCTTCCCCAACCAAAGGGTTCCAGAGCTCTTGCTTAGGATTTGAGGATCAGACATTTCCAGGGAGATGAGGTTTACCTCTTGGTTAGGCGAATGAGGCGAATGACCACAAGAAGTCTCACCTTGCAGATCAAGGAATGGGCCACAAGATAAATGGAGACAGAAACCAGACAGAGAGGGAACTAGAGAGAACCAGTGGACAATACAGGAGATAACTTTATTGAAACGCAAATGGCATCAAACAGATGAATCTTGCTGGGAGGAGACATGCCTAATGGAACAGAGGGCCCAGATGAGAGGGGCCTCTGGCAGTGATGGAGGAAGGCCTCTTCAGCTGGCCTGGCATGGATTTAATTTTCAACCAATTTGTTACTTAAAACAAATTACTGAGGGGACAGCTCAGCTCTCTTCATGATTGTTACCGCAACTATATACAACGGTTTGCTTTCCAGATTCAAATTTGCTTTCTCTACATTAGATATAAAAGGGGGTAGATTGAAAGAGGGGAGGGTCAAATGAGAAAAAACAAACACACAGACACACACATATCCTGGTTTGGGGCTTTATGTCCAATAAATTAAAAAAAAACAACACAAAGACCTGGTGCAAAAATTCCTCCCCACTTTCCACCTGAGGATTGCCATGCACTTGAGAAACACAGACTCCATCACATAAACAGTGCTGCCTAAAACAGGATGGGGGTGGGAGGGGGAGGGAAGGAAAGGAATCTGGTAGGGGTTGGAATTCATTAAAAAAAAAGATTGTTCTGTTAAAAAAAAACAAAACACAAAAAACAACAACAGTAACAAAAGTCATTAAGTGGGAGGCTCCTGCACAGCAGTAGCCCAGACACTGGCTGGGATATGGGAGCTCTTGGCTTATTATCTAACATCTTCAGTCTCCAAGGAATGGGAGGGAAGCAGGAAGATCGCACAGGAGATGACCAAAGGCCCGTTATCGGCCTTCGGGGGGACCGAAGGGGTGATTTTAGTGAAATCTGTTTTACACTTGTCTTCTTCCAGCCTTAGTTCCTCCCCAGATGCTTGGTCCTAGATTTCAAGAGGCCTAGTACTAGCACATTACTTTGTCCTCTACCCATAAGCTCCCTCGCAGGGAAAACTGACAAACTTGAAACAAAACCAGTTGTCAATAGCCTCATCTACCCCATGGCCCCATCAACTCGAATCTGTGAATCTGGAAAGATAAGAAGCTCCTCTCAGATTTTTTTTTTTTAAGGGATTGTATTCTGTCACTGTGCCTGAGTCATTCTGTACCCTAGGCCTGGCATGGGGAAAGGAAAGGATGAGCCCAGGGATTTAGTTGTCCCTGTCCTGCATCTTCATTGTGCTTCAGCCTGTCCTGTGAGCAGAGGAGAGCATGGAGACGGGGTCTTCCTCGGGGTACTGGAGCCCTCCAGCTGCCCTGGGGAAGGAGGTTCTGGCCAGGTTTCTCAGACCCAGCAGTGCCATTTAGAACTCAACTAAAGGAGAGGGGATGTTGCTAAGAGCACAAGTTGCCATGGAAATACAAATGAGATTTTCTGACTTTTCTCATCCTATTATATAATCAGAAAAAGCCTCAGAGTAGACACAATCCAGCAGAAGAGCAGTCTGGAAGAGACCTCCAACTACTTGCTTCAGCTACAGCCCATTTGTTTCCCAGGTAAAAATTTCAGAGCCAGGAGATTTTTCTCTGAAGATTGTGTTCAACTCGAAGAGAGTCCTGTCTTCCCCCTCCCGTCTGCCCAAAGGCACATGAACCTTTTCTGTGTTAAATAAAAGGAAAACCAGAAACATAAGGAAGCATGGGAAAGGTAACTTTCAAATTAATGTAAAAGCCTGAATTACAACCTAGGACCTTATTTTTTGGTCCTAAAGCCCCTCGGTGTGGGGACTCTGCTACTTGCCTTTCCCTTTAAAAAAGTGACTTTCACACTATAGCGTGCATCAGAATTACCAAGAGGGTTTGTTAAAACACAAATGGCTGGGCCCTCTCCTTAGTTTCTGATTCAGTAGGGGCCTGAGAATTTCATTTTTAACAAGTTCCCAGATGCTGCTGCAGCTGCTGGTCTGGAAACATAGGATGAAAACCAGTATTCTAAGAAATGAGAGTTGAATCAAGGGACCAAGGGTCCACTTACTTCCATGACCACTCTTGTCAACAGAAAATTTTCCATGGCATAATCATTCAGAAAAATAGCCAAAACATCAAATTGGGAGGAGCCAGTATACATAGGTTTAATTTTCAACTCTAATGGTCTCTGTGCAGCCTCCAAATTTCTATCGGGATCCTCATCTTCCAGTTTACTTCTGTTTCCCAGTCTCTGGCTGGCAGTGCTTGCTTCCAGGGCTAGGCTGAGCACGCATCTGCACACACATGGATCCTCAGCAATGGGGAGAGCCCAGTTGGTGGCCCCATAGATCCCTGATCAGGTTGGTTGAGGACTCATGAATATATAAAGCTGATTCAAGTATAAAGGGCAATTATCTTCAGGCATTGGCCTTTTGGGAACACAGTGTCCCTAAGGCCATTTTATTATTTATGGCCTCTTTAGTGGAGCCATGAACCACTAGCAGCCAGAACTTGCTAGTAGTTCCTAGTCATCAAAAGAGTGTACCAGCATTAAATTAGTATATCCATTAGCAAACCCTCTGGCTGGAAAAACACATTTCATCCCATTAGTGGGGTTGACTTATAGTCTGCTTATTAGCATCAGCTTAGCTAAGGCCTGAGAATAAGCAAAACAAGTATGATGAGTTACATTTGGTGATCTGGATTACTTTAACACTTGAACCCTGTGTTAAATCTGTGATTAGGACAAGAACAGCTTCCTTTCCTAAACACCCTGAAATAAAGAATTCTTTAGAGTCTCCTGTAGGTCTCCTAATGCTGGCTTGTAGGACCAAGTCCCACTTGGTCTGGCAAATTTCACCTATAAGCAGAGTTCCTGGATATGGGTGTCCTCTCAGGTGATGATGTGAGGTGTTTGTGAGAAAGAGCAGGCTGTTGTCTTCCTACTCTTTTGGAATACCACAGGAACTAGTGACCTCCGAGACTGGAAGGGAATGTCCCTCTGAATCATGTGACCCTCATGTCAGGGAGCTAGGAGTGGAAGTGTGGTGAGATTAGGTCCATTGGGAGTCTTGCAAACAGGAAAACCAAAAAGCCAGAAATGAAATGTAAAAAAAATCACTATTTCTTCTGAAATCCTTAAGGAGTATGAATAGATTAGTTAGAAGGCTGGTAATTCAAGACCAAAATGTAGCATGCCAATCAATAAGGACGTCATTGTAGGGTCTGTCCATGGACAGCAAATCTTTCTTCCCTGTTAGCCTCTAGCTTCCCAATGGTCAGACTACATGAAAAAGACGTTGGTATAAGGATTCACACAAAGACAGAGATAAGCACCGTAGAGCTGCCACAAAGCATAGATTTTTAAAAAATATTCTGAAGCCTCAGAAGTTAGGAAACAGCAACAGCAAAGTGCTCTTGAAGGGGGGGCGGGGAGAGAGAGACACACACACAGACATCAGGTCCTGTATTAGCCTCCAATTACCTAGTATTTTATTTTTAACGCCTAGGCAGGGATTGAGAAACACATACACTGGACAAAATGTGTTGGTCGTCTTCATCCAGAAATGAGAGGGAGTCTGCGGAGGAACCTCTCCTGGAGTCATGGCTCTCCCCAGAAGTTGATGTTGGGTATTGAACCATGTCATCTGCTAGCCCGCTTTGGTGAGGAATGGAGTTGAGAGTCTGGAGAGGAAGGGGAGAGCACACATCCCAGTCCTACATAGGCTGGGCTCTTCTGAAGGTGCCCCGGGGCTGAGAAATTAGCCGTGGGACCCAGTTTTCATTTTCGGAGGGATCCCAGTAGTCTCAACTAAGAAGCAGGTGCGTAGGTAGGAGAGAATGCTGTGGATTTGCTCTTGTCATTAATTCTAGGGCAGTAAGGGGGAAGCTCAGGTTTTCTGCTTCAGAGAAGTCTGGATGAGCACCCCAAGGGGTTATAGCACCATGAGGAGGCTCAACTTTCTGCAGTTGCCACATAAGCATGATTCCTTGGTGAGATAACAGATCCCCACAATGAGGGGCCCAAGTGTGCAACTGTAAACTGGGTCCCAGGCTCCAGAGGGAAAGCTGAGGCTGCAGTGCCACCTCATTAGATGGGAACACACTTTTTGGAGGAAAGCAACTAGAGACCTGGGCTAAATGCAGCAGTCAACTCAGAGTAGAGGGTGGTGGGTCCCAGAAATAGAGAGTAAAATTAGTAACATGAGAGGCCTCCAGAATCAACCTGCTGAGGATCCAAGTAAAATTCACGGTGGTATCCATGGTTACCAGGGAGCCAAGAATCCCTTTGGAGGTCTGAGGCAGTTGGAATGGAGGAAGGGGTTCTCCCCTTTCCTTCTTCTCAAGTAGCCAGTAACATCCATGATAGAAGGCACTGGCTGGGCAGCACCAGAAAGTAGAGTTAAGGGCTCAACCACCTGATCAAGATGGCATTAAACGTCTGAGCCTTGCCATGGGACTGGAGCTAAGGACAGGGTTCAGAAGAGGCCTCGGTCCAAAGAAGGCCCATCCGGTCCTCCCTTCCTTCCAAGTTGGAACATCCAGCTCTGGGGCCTCCTCATTCTGCACAGCAGAGACCTTAAGGCAGTGATATCAGCACCATCCTTGAACAAACAGCCTCTTCCCACCACAGAATTGCATATTTTACAGCTGAGTTGGTTGGGGATCTTCACAGCTCATGGACTTAGCAGCAAAAGCACTAACAGTCTCTAGCATAGAGGACCCTGTCATCCCTGGGAGCTACCAGATGAATGTGGAAGCTTTCTTGGGGAGCAACCTGAACCATCTGTTGGACCTAAACGGAAAGATTCTGATATGAAGAGTCAGATGCATGTACTCCTTGGTTGGGTGGGACAGAACAGTCCAGGTGAGTATGCCTGTAGATTCGGATAAGGTCTTGTGCTACATAGGAATCTGAAGAATGCACACTTGGGCCCAGGCTTATCACAGGTCTTTGATCTGTAGAGCCCTGAAACTTTATCCTCGCCAGGCAGTTCAGCCTGGATCTCATCCCACAGGGGCTTCCAGAAATGGCAGGTAGAGGACTTGTCCACTTGAGATAAGCAAAGTTCCATTTTAATGGATCCCAGATCTTCTGCCCCCCATGTATTAGACATCTAATCAAAGGCTTCTTTCTAGCTGGCACCTTGGGTTTTGGCTACATTTCTGAGATGATCCTGAGGGTCTAGATAAGCAGAGGATGTGCACTTAATGGAGGTTAAGATTTCCTACTAGATTGTGAACACAACAGCTCAAGTCTTGCCTTTTTTGTTTTTTTAAACCTGGTGACTGGCAGACAGTAAGTACTCAGTAAGTCCTTGCTGAGTGAAAGCATATAGACTGCCAGGCCTTCGGGGCAACTTCTACTGAAGGTGGATTCCTTTAGAAGGCAGATCTTTGCCACCAAATCAAACTCCTTGAACCTTATATTCTGACTAGGGGTATTTCATATGGATGTCCAGTCTCCTGTAAGTGAATATTTACTCGTCAAGAACAAATAGTAAAGGCTACCTACGGATTTTGGATTCAGTTGAGCAGAGCGGCCGCCATCAGAATAGCGTAATGGGGGGCCCAACAGGCCACAAGACAAAGGAATATTCCCAGTTTCCTGGTTTTCCTCCAGTCCAGTGTGGAGCTCAGGGTAGATCTTCTATCAACATGGGGTGATACACTCTCAGACCGGAGGCTGGCAGCTGAGCTCCCAGGCAGAATGCGTGCTTTCTCAAAAGGGAAGTCAAGGTTCTTCTACTACTTTTGTCTGAGCCAATGCTTCGGGTCTCTGTAAGTCCCAAGGATGCCAAAGATAGTGGCATGGCAGGCATCTAGCTAGTGCCAATTAGATGGCATCAGATTCTCCGAAGAAAACCCACTTGGAAAAGCCAAACTAGCCCCAAGAAAAGCAACCCAAGCATTTTGTGGACATGAGAGGAAATGGGAAAAAAAAGAAAGAAAGAAAGAAAAAGAAAGAAAGAAAGAAAGAAAGAAGGAAGGAAAAAGAAAGAAAGAAAAAGGAAGAAAGAAAGAAAGAAAAAGAAAAGGAAAATAAATAGGCACATGGGAGGGGAAAAAAAGAAAACAAAAAGCGAAAATAAAAAACAAAAAAAGTAGGGTTTATTGACTCTCATGCGTGTTAAATTAGAGGGTGTAAGACAGAGCTAACAGTCTTTCTCTGAAGGCTGGAATGCTATTGTTGTGGTCTGGTGACTTCCGAGATAGGCAGCCATCTTGTCATCATCCCCTAAGTCATCCAGGGATGGGAAGCACGTTCTCTACTTTGGCAACTTCTTCCTCTCTCTCCAGCGTCATCTTTTCCTTTCTTTTTTTGTGTGTGTGTTTTTTTTAAAATACCTTTTACAGATTGATTTAAACATTTTTTTAAACCACATGCTTCTTTTTCTGGGCTCCAGCCAGATCTCTGGGGGAAGAGTTATTGGCAGTGGTGACGGAACTCGGAAGGGTCTGTGAGAAATTCTGAGGAGCTTCCTCCTCCCTCAGATTTCCCCACACAGGGCTGTCTCTCCCAGAGCTGTTCATGAGAATCAGTTAGGAACTGCTGCCGGTTTTTCTGATGTCTTCTGAACCCCTCCCCAGAAAGCCTAGGAGTTTATAATTGAGACACGAAATCAAGGAAAAAGACCCAGAGTCATCTTTTCCCCAAAGTCATGAGAGGAGGCCAGTAAATATATCTAGGGGACACAAGTTTCCAAACTCCACCCCACCAGTCCTTCCTAGGAAGTTCTCAAGGTGCAGCACCAAGAACCTGCCCTCTTCCTTCACCTCCTCCTCCCCCTCCTGTTCTCTCGGGCCGGAGAGCCAGTCCTCTGGAACAAGAGAGGGGAGAGGAGGAGAGAACGTCGCTGATGCCAGCATTCTGCTGTCCGGGGTGACAGTGACTGCTGGACCCTCAAAGCGTGGCCTGGAGGTTGGGGTCCAGGATGGTTTCTCGATCTGGAGACTCAATGTAATTGGCAGCTTCCTGAAGTTTCAGCAGCATGGCCATCTAAAGAGGGGCAAAAGGATGGATTCATGAGAGTCGGGACTCGGGGTCCTGCCCACAGAAGGGAAACATAAAGCAATCTAGATCAGGGGACTGATCCTTGGTTTGGAAGTGATGAAGGGCCCTGAGATTGTACAGGTGCCTCCTGAAAAAGCAGCAATGGTTACTTCAACCCTGTCTGTAAGCATGTGTGTGTGATGCTCAGGAGTGTCTCGGCTATACGAGGTGCGGTGCTGTGATGTGGGAGGGATGTCGAAACAAGAGAGCCTCTGCCTCCAAGGCGGTCACACTCAGGAGAGGACAGAGGGCCTGGACGTACCGACTAATACTGGGAGGGATGTGCGAAGTGGCCGTAAGAACGTCTGTGTGTGTCAACTTCTTCCAAAGAGATCATAGCCGAACACATTCGGTGTCATCACGAGTCTGTCCTGCACACCACCCTCTGCCCCAACACACAGCCTAGTGCTTCGTGTCAGGTGTAAACGCTCCTTCCTCCTTCCCTCTTTACCTCTCTCCTGCTCCCATGCCTCTTCAAGACTGTGACCCTCCATTTCAGCTAAGTACACCTGGCTGGTTCTCTACTGAATCTTCTATTTACATGACTATTAACAGTCTTCCAAATTAATGGCTTGTTTTTTGTTGTTTGGTTTTTTTTTTACACAGGTAACACCTGTTTTTAGCAAAGTCAAAATTTAAATTAAAATGTATTATGACTAAAGTGGAAGAATTTCTTATTTGCAACGTAAAACTGCAAGGTCACAGGAGTGGTGCACATTAAATTTTAATACAAACTGCTTAGTTATCTTCCAAAATGGCTTTGCTAATGAACACTCCCACCAGCAGAGGATGAAGTCTGTGCTTGCATACACACTATTTCTGCCAACGTGAAAACGGTTTTCTCCTTGTTTTGATGTTGCATTTCCACAATTATTAGAGAAGTCAAGGTTCTTTTTGTATTTTTATTGGCTATTTGCCCTTCCCCTAGTCAAAGGCCTCTTCGTATCCTTTGTCCATTCTTCTAATTGGAAATTTTATGGGAAGTTTTATATATTCTAGGTACCTCTTTCGGTTATAAGCCTTGCAAATATTTGCCCCTAGTTGGTCACTTGTCTCAGACTACTTTTCATAGCGGTTCATGAAATCCACTGAACCACAGCAATCCTTAGGATAATACCAGAGTAGAGGGAGAGGTAGAGACGGAGTGTATGTGTGTCCCACTGCTCTCTTTTTTGGTTAATAGTCCTACCTGGGATCTGCCTGAGACTCAGGTCTTTACTAAAATACATCTTGCTAGCACGCATTATTATTTAGCTTAAGATAGGTTGTAGGCATATGATCTTTATAACCCAGGATTCTGACTGGTGAGCTCCTAACTGGCTTCATTCTAGTCCTAGCCTTGCTGATACCCTTCAGCCTCCATCCGGGTATGCATGAAAAGTTCAATTCCAGGGGTGCCTGGGTGGCTCAGTCGGTTGAGCATCTGATTCTTGATTTTGGCTCAGGTCACAATCTCGGGATCGTGGGATCAAGCCCCGCAGTGGGCTCCGTGCGTGGTGCGAAGTCTACCTGTCCCTCCCCCTCTGCTCCTCCCCCAGCTCACGCGCGTGTGTGCATGTGCTCTCTCTCTCTCAAATAAATAAATAAAATCTTAAAAAAAAAAAGTTCAGTTCCATAATACTCTTATTTTTACCTTCGAATGGCTTCTACTCACCAGGGGGTCTGAGTCCAAAGAACTTGGGGTGCTATCTTTGACTGTCCTATCCTCGGGAGGTGAGGCAATGCTATGAGGGCCCACGGTGGGAGGGGGCAGGTGGTATAGCTTCGACTGGTCTTGTTGGGCTGACGGCCAGGGAAGAGTGTCCCGGACCCACTCCACTGGGTCCTCCCAAGCAGCTTTCTGTCCATGGACCTGGATAGAAGGGGAAGTGCAGTTATTGGCAGAGGGATCCACAGATGGAGGCTTGCACATGCAGTCTCCTGATGGCCATATGCATTTCCTCCAATGGAAAGCCTTGAGACTCTGATCCCCATGAGTTGAAACTCAACTCCTTTGAGTTTCCCCACAAAGGAAATAAGTTGGGTGACTAGGTAAAATGATTCTGGACGATGATTTGGCAGACTTGTGTTAAAAACTTAACATGTTTTTGGGGCGCCTGGGTGGCTCAGTTGGTTAAGCAGCAGATTCTTGATTTCGGCTCAGGTCATGATCTCAGGGTTGTGAGATCCAGCCCTGCGTTGGGCTCTGCACTGGGCGTAAAGCCTGCTTAAGATTCTCTCTCTCCCTTTGCCCTTCTGCACCACTCCCCACTCTCTAAAAACAAAAACAAAAAACCCCAAAAAAACAAAACAAAAAAAACCAATGAAAAACACTTAGTATGTACCCATCTTATGACCCCATAATTTTAGTAGGAAGTTCTTCCTTAGTAATCATATCCTTTTTTAAATTTTTAAACATTTTTATTTTTTCATTTTTTTAATATCCTTTCTTTTTTTTTTCTAAAGATTTTATTTATTTGATAGAGACACCGCGAAAGAGGGAACACAAGCAGCGGGAGTGGGAGCGGGAGAAGCAGGCTTCCCGAGGAGCCGGGAATATATCCTTTTTTAAAAACCTTTTTTTCTTTTTTCTTTTAAGTAGGCTCCACGCCCACCGTGGGGCTTGAACTCATGACCGTGGGGCTTGAACTCATGACCCCAAGATCAAGAGTTGAACGCTCTACCAACTGAGCCAAAAAGGCACCCCAGTACTCCTATCTTTTAAAAGAATTTTGACTTTGTTGAAAACAGATGTTATCTGTGTAAAAACACTTTGAAATTGGAAAACTATAAATAATAATGCAAAATTTGGGGCACCTGGGTGGCTCAGTTGGTTAGGCGTCTGACTTCAGCTCAGGTCATGATCCCACAGCACTGGGATAGGATCGGGCCCTGGGTCAGGCTCCCTGCTCGGCAGGGAGGCTGCTTACCCCTCTGCCCCTCTCCCTACTTGTGCTCTCTCTCTCAAATAAATAAATAAATAAAAATAATAATGCAAAAATAAATGAGATAATGATTTCTGGCACCGCCTGATAGATAGTATCTCAATAGACACTTACCACATCATCAGGAGATATCTACTGCAATAGCAAATTACTTTTATGGAAAGTACATGGCCAGTAGGATCCAGACACTGCATTGTAGTTCACTAGTGCTGGAATGGACGCTAGTCATCATTATGCCCTAATTCACAGGTGAAAAAAACTAGGGAGGCTTTACTAAAATGGTATCTTCCTTTTGCATAAAGTTCTTACTCTAGTTTCTAAAAATCTTTTCACATGTTTCATGTCTTCAAAACAACCCAGTGATTTAGGCAGAGCAGACTTTATTATCTCCTTTCTTATATATATAGGGATGTTAAAAAAGGTTATGTAACTTGGCCAATGTAACATTTTTATTAGTAGTTAGTAGTAAGCTAAGGCTGTAACAGGGTTTTCCTTAATTCTGAGCTTGATGATTTCTCTATGAGCTCTGATCCTTAGAGAGAGGTCTGAGTTTGGCACAGAGCCAGAAGGCCCAGGACTGGAGACAGGCCCCAGAGACCATGGTCCTGTAGCCATTTGCTGAATGGTGGCTGGACACTGGGCCTTACTCTACCTCTTAGCAAAAGACCTTGGCAAGTCTTCGGAGCCTCACGTCTAACACTGGAGGATGTTTCTGCTTTGCTAGGTGGGAGAGCCTGACCTTGGGGACTGAGTAGAGTCAGAGGGTAGGGCTCACCTTGATCCCATCCTTCGCTCCTTCCTGTAGGTAGGGAATGATGGAATTATTCCACAGGTCAATGAACCAGGTCCGGAAGTCCTCAATGCCAATGGGACAGGACAGAAAGAAGCAAGGGCCTATGGAAAAGAATGAGGCCAGTAAGATGGCTGAGCACTCAGCTCTCCCCAGTCATCTGTCTCTTTCACTCCTTAACACCAGGCAGAGGGGCCTGATAACCAAAGAAGTAAAGGAAATTTAGAGTCGGGCTGTCCTGAGATTGTTGTCAAGACCAATGGGAGTGGCTGCCTGGCTGGCAGCCTCATCAGCAATACTTCTTCACAAGGTGGAAGTGAGGTGAGGGAGTGAAGGGAAGTTTTCCAATTCCCTTCTAAACACTTTATTTTCCCCATTAGTTGTGGGGAAAGTGAGGGAGTGGGGCTAGCTTTCTGATGATTGAAGTCATTCAGCCAAATCATGGCGCTAACTGCGAAGGGGAATGCTTGGTAAGTAATTAAGCGGTCCTGGGTCTGAAGCCACAGGGCTTGCTACTCCTTTACATGCTGAAGACTCCAGAAAGAAATGGGAACATCCCTCTGGGTGGCAAAGTAGGAAAGGGAAGCCACCTTCTGACCCCAAGGGGGAAGCTGAACCCCAGTACCGATGAGGAAGTCTGAGGTGCTGTGCTTCTCAAGGAAGGTGTGGAGATGGTACCACAGCTTGGGCACCCAGTCGAGCACCCGAAGCAGCTCTTCCTTGTTGGCATTGATGTCACTGTCCGACTCTACCAGCTTCCTCCTCAGGTAACGAACCAGGAAGCCATTGGCTGGCTCCACGTTGTTGGAGAAGGTCAGCATCCTGCAGCCAGGAATGGGGAGAGGGGTCAGGGCGGCCATGTGGGCATAGTCGGCATCCATCCCCTGCCAGTCCGTCCCTCGTCCTACCTGCCTCCCACTGACACCCACCGGGTTTCTTCTCAAGTAATGGCCGAGTTGACTGAACGGGCAGAGCTGATTCTCAAACCAGTGACCCTCTTCAGAGAACCATCTGACCTCAGTGACCCGGATGAGGGGGTTGTGTGGGCAGAGAACCCAAATCACAGCATCCTAGCTGCAGCTCTCTTAGTTTTGTAGTTCTTTCCTCTTCTCGAGGGTTCTCTTCCACCCTGTAACTGACAGGGCAAGTATCCCTACTCTTTCTTCCCAGCCCAGAGGCCCTGCCTAGTTCTCCTTCCTGCTATCTATTGCCCGTCTGGCCAGATCCTGGGATTTAACTAGTTTGCAGAACTTTAGGTAGGGTGGGAAGGTTTATCCAGGGCCCACAGTTCTTACCTGAAGCTCAAGTGCAAGCCATGATTAGGTGTCATTTTTACAGGCTGATTGGTGGTACCTATGATATAAGGACTGTGGGAAGAAGGAGGAAAAAGGTTCACTTAGACTTAACACTCGCTTTCTGCTCCGTACATGCAAGGGAAAGCTCACAGGTTGGACTGGACCAAGGCTCTCCTTCCCACTGCGGTGAGTTTGGTCCTGACTCCAGCTTACCATTTGTGGTACTTGCACGTGAGAGCCCCATTGACCAGCTCACTGATGGAGCCTGCTTCACTCAGGTCATCCAGGAGGATCACCAGCGGGACATCCCCAATTCCTGTTTCCCGGTCTATCTGGTTGGCCAGGTTGGAGAGATAGAGTTGCAGATCCTGAAATAAAAGAAGGAAGTGGCTCAGCACTCAGGAGCAGTGAGCACTTGGATCAGCCTTGGGAGGAGGGGTTTTGGAGAAGGTATGCTAGTTCTGGATTCCCCTGGAGCCTCTGGTTCCTGTTTGATGCATCTGAACGCTCGACTCCAGAACAACTACGCACTGATAAACAGTGGTCCCAAAGGCTCTAAGGCAACCATCTTAAGTAGCGGCTTCTAAATCCCTGAAGGGTGGGGATCATATCCTATTTCCTAACGGGATTTTCACTGGGTTGGTACCATGAACCACTCCAATAGATAAGCCTCCCCCTGCTGGGGCAACCCCAGAGTGTCAGGGCGTGCTTGAGAGACATCCAGATTTGGCAGGGGACAGCAGAATGTGTCACATGTAATACTGAGTTCTTCTCCCCAGAAAGCCCAAGGTCAGAGTAATACTGAAAAGAAAGGTAGAGGGAAGGAAATAAACAAAGGGACAGGATTTTCAGGGTCGGCAGAAAGTGAGGTGGAAATGAGGGTATCGTTCAGTCAATGATCAGCAAAAGGGAAAGGCGTATACCAGAGGCAAGGGGAAGTGTGGAGAAAGAAGGGAAGGGAAAAGTCTGGAAAGAAACTGGGGGCAGAGGAGGGACTAGCAAAGGGGAATGCTAAGGGGAAGGGAGGAAAAGGGAACAGAAGGGGCAGGAAGGGGCCCGGGGAAGGCCTTGGGGGCTGAGGCCCGAGCAAAGGCTGGTGGGGGTGCCAGGAGGCAGCCACCTTGCAAGACTGCTGGTGCATGTTGAAGGTGCTGACGATGCCCTCGGTGACCTCGCGGCCGGAGCGCTCCACCAAGTACTCAGCCAGCCGGTTGGTCAGGTAGGTCTTGCCCGTGCCGCTGGGGCCCGAGAGGACGAGGCGCCGGTGCTTGAGCAGGAGGCTTATGTAGTGCTGCATCATCGGCTTGGGGACCAGTGTCTCGAACACCAGGCTGTCGACGCACTTCTCCTTCAGACCTGAACCCCCAGCCCCAGAGAGCATGAGCCATGACCAGGGCCCCGAGGGCGGCAAGGACCCCTGAAGGGCACATGTTTCTTCACCTAGGAGCCCACTGAAATAACTCAGGGCCACCTGTCCCAGGGTTCCATAGGAATCCCCTAAGGCCTAGTTTTGAAAACACAGATCCTATTTTTAGGGACATGCTTGGAGTTATAGGTGTGTGGGTGGAGTGAGAAACCCAGGCTTTCTAGAAATTTCCCTGGGAATGAAAATGGCCCTCGGAACAAAGTTAGGACCGGATCTTATTCATCTTTTTACCTTCTGTTCCCTTTCCTCCCTTCCCCTTAGTTACTTGAGTACAGGGAGGTGCACATTACAGCTTCTCAGTAAATCCCTGTTGAATGAATGAGTGACGGATTGTCTGATGTTCCTCTCCCTCCCTCACCCCATTTCGCTGCACCCCAAAAGACAAAGACTGACCTTTGAGGGAGACTGATATGTTGTTGACACCTCGGCGGCAGGGAGGCATCTCTGGGGGCTCCGCATCCAACACCCGCTTCACGTGGCTGATGCTATAGCCATGGATGGACTCGGTGCTCAGTCCCAGGGTGGAGGCTGGGTCCATCTTAGAAATGTAGTCCTAACAGAGGAGAAAAGGAGGAAGAAAAAAAAGATAGAGAAGAACACCGAGATGATGCAAACCCAGATGTACAAGCCACAAATTTCAGAGGGAACAGAAGTCAATGGAGAAAGGGAAGAACCTATGTTTTTCCTAGTTAGCATTTCTCCATGAAGCATCAAAGGTCCCCAAGATCCCAATGCCTGGATGGCTCCATATCCCATGAGAGGATAAACAACCTTTGTGAGTACATGTATGCCTTTACCTTGAACACTTGGAAAACAGCTTCATCCAGCATCTTCCAGTCCACTTTCCCACTGACCTTGCTACATCCTAGGAAGAATTCCTGCTGTTTCAAGTCCTATATGGCCAAGTAGAAAGAAGTGTGTGAGCCTCAGTGTGGTCCCTCCAAGAAAGGGAGGTGGTCCTAAAGGGCCTTAGCCGTGGGGTACTCTGGTTTTGAGGTTTTTCAGAGCCCAGATGTTTTTGGATAAAAATAATAGTGTCACCAGGCCTCCCTGAAGTTCCTTACCCCTTTGATGATGTGCTGGGGGGGCATCCGCACCACCACCCGAAGGGTCACTTCCTCCTTTAGACCACAGGTGCTGATGCCATCCATGGGTGACAGGTCTGTAAGCAGTGAAAACAACTATTAGCTTTAGGGGCACCTACAGGCTTTCCTAAACTTTCTAGTCATCATCCCTTCCAAATGACTACTGACTATCAAGAGGAAACCAAAACTCCAAAACTGAAAAGCAATTAGGGTTGAAGGACCAGAACAACACTTCGTGTCTCATGACACTGGGATGCGCTTGGTTTAGGTGCTGTTAACCTGCATGACCCGAGAGGGGTGCCCCCAGAGCAAGCAGAATGGTGCAGCAGTGACCCAAACCCTCTTCTTCCTGCCACCCTTACAGGTTCTTCTCCCAAACGGGTACCTGTGTCAGTGAGACTTGGGCTGGAGGAATGGGTGAGGGCAAGGCCCAGGGAGCGGCGAGGGGAGGCTAACGCAGAAGATCCGGGGACCTGCCCTGGAGTGGAGCCCGATGAGGGGCCTGGGGCGACCTTCAGCCGGTCGTTCTCGGCTTTCAGCAGGTCCACCTCCAACTGCAGCAAGAACAGATGGGGCAGGGCCGCAGAGTTGGACGGATCTCAAGGCTCGGTCTTCCCTCTGCTCAGCTGTCTGCCCAGATACCCACCTGCATGTTGTGCATTGTCTCCCGAAGTTGGTCCAGTTGGTGGGCAGAGTTGAGGGCTTCCAAGCGGATGTCTGTAAGCTTCATCTCTTTCTCCCACAGCTCGGAGCGCAGTTCCGATACCTCTTTCTTCTCCGGTTCCTCCTCCTCATTGCCATGGAACAGCCTGGTGTGGGGGGCCGGGTGAGCAGGGCCCCTGGAAGAAAGTGAGAGTGAAGCCAGGCCACATGGGGCAGCTGTAGAGTTGCTAGGGGACACGGAAGTAATCAGCCGTGGTGGGGGGAAGGTCTCTTACACCCCGGGAGAGCCCTGTGGTGCGGTGGCCAGGGGCAAACAATGGGCTTAACTGCCACCGCCGGCCATGTACCGTTGGCTGGCAGGCAGACAGCACTTACTCGGCGCCATCTGTGCCCACAGAGGAGGGGCTGGAGGACTTGACGGAGGGCGAAGCGGCCTCTGCGGAGCCGCGCTGTAGTTTGGGGGATGAAGGGGCGGAGGAGTCCGGTGTGGCGATCTCCTCAATGTCAGAGTATGAAGAAGCGGACTTGGGTCCCTTTTTTATACTGAAGGCTTTGTTGAAGGAACTTCGAAGCTAGAAAAAAGCAGATCCAGGTGGAGAGACATCAGGGCTCCACTCTGGAGACTGGGGGTGGACTGGTTTGGGACTTCTGAGACGGAGAGGTGTACAGGCAGGGTATTTGCTTGCTGTCAGTAAGCCTCCCTCTTAAGGCTTCACTTGGTTCATGGAATATGGACAGAAGAGTTGCCTAGAAATTAGGGCTGAGAGAAAGTCCACTGTTCTGGCTTGCTGTGGTTGTCGGCTACAGGAACTTCTTGGGTCTGCTCTCTCCCATGGGGAAACTATGCCCCTGAGCAGGACAGAGAGAAGTCCCCAGAGGTCACATGGTGGCCAGTCTCTCAATGATCGAACTCCACCTTCTCCAGCAGATCAATTACTGCTCAGTCTAGAGCCTTGCTCATTTTGGGTCTCAGGGTCTACCCTGACCGTGGCTCATCAGATCAGAATCCATTTATCTATTTACCTATTAACCAGAAACTGGCCATATGATTCTGTGGAAATCAACGGAAGGGAGTGGTATCAAGTTTCTTTTAGTGTCTCTTGTGCTCAGCACATCCCAGAATGGTGAAAACAATCAGATACAAATGCTTTCTCCTATTCCCACTCAAGTGTCCTAGAACGAGGAATATTTCCCAGCATTTCCTCAGAATACTTGAGAGACTATAATGTGACCATAGCTTGTTTGACCTTAGGTGTTGATGAGCTTGGGTGTTAGGGCTGTGATCTAGAGATGCAAACCAGGGTCCTGGCCCACCCATTGGCATGCATCCATGTAGCATGCACACACACACAGGGACACAGAGATGGAATGGCAGCAAGAGACAGAGAGTAAAGGAGGGGTCAAAGGCTGTAGGGGACAAAAGTAAACCAGATCTTTGGGACAGTGAGAGAAAAGAAAGGAAAACTTGAGGGTACTCTTTCAAAGTGTCTCTTCTGGAACACAGGGAGGCTGTTGGGGTAAATGAGGAGAGCTGACGGTAGTGTGTGTTGGGGTGTCTACCAGGGAGGACATAAAGGAGGACCAATCTGGCTGTGATGGAGATAGGAGAGAGAGGGAGTACGTGTGCAGTGAGCTAGAGTGTGCCTGCAGGGGGTAGATTATCATGGAGCAGTCCAGGCTCAAGAATCCCATAAAGCTCAGTTCTCTGCGGAGATGAGGAACTGAGGATAAAAAGTTGACTTGCTTGAGATTGCAGAATTGAAGGAAGGCCTGGGACTGGAACTCGGGCTTCCTTATTTTCAACCCAATGGTCTTCTCTACACTATTGCCTCATGGGAAGCTGTGTGTATATGAGAGAGACAGAGAAAGAGAGAGAGAGAGAGAGTGTATGTGTGTGTGCGTGTGCGTTAAGAGTGTGTGCGCATACAAAGAGATCCCATGACCACAATCTGCCCAAAGCACACGTTCTGTAAGATCACGAAGACCGAGAGACGGTAGTGTTCTCTGTGTCATTCAGGGTTCCCAAAGCACAACTGTTGGCAGATGTTCATTGGTGTTATGTGGTGAAGGATTCCCTGAATTCAGGAAACAGTGGGTCAAGCAAAAGGAAACAGACTCTTCACTGAGGGACATCTCAGAACGTTCCTATGTGGGTGTGCACTGCAGAAATGCAGGGCTTCTCAAATTTGATGATGGCATCCCTGTTTTAAGGAGCATCGCCGTGGACTTGTGCACAACACATGCTGGGAAATGCTAACCTAAAGAATCAAGTTTAAATAATTATCCTGGCATTTCAAGCCCTTCCTATCTGCGCCCCGCCCTACTTAGTGCTCCAGCTATCCTGATTTTGTCCCTGCAGAAAGCCTCTCCACACACGCTCCTATCACAGTACCATCTCAGTTTAGCTTTTACCTCCTTTCTGGTGTTTCCCCAGCCTCCTGTAATAAGTTTCATCTACGAGCTCCTCTAGCCCTCATTGGCTGAATTAGGCATTTTGGCACCGTCGGATTGTTATCAATCTCTTATGTACGATATTGGTTTTTGTCTCCCCAGCAATTCTGCAGGCTCCTGGATGGTTCAGATTACAGACTCCACTTTTCACATCCTTCTTAACACCTGGCGCAATGTTGGGCTAGGTTAGTGGACCTCAGATGTCTGGTCTGTAATGGAAACTCTGGGTTCACTTTCTGCTTGTCTTGAGAGTATACTCTAATCCCTGAAATGTCTTTGGAAACTCCATGGATGCTCAGAGGGTTTCAGGTTTTCAGGTGGTTTGAGGGTGCCCTGGACTGGATGGATCATATCCTCTCCTATATCTGGTTCGTCTTCCTACAGAGCTAAATCTTCAGATGAGACCCAAACTGAACTGGTCTTTGGGAATTGTGGTCGAAATAATGTTCATCCAGTGAATCTCTTCCATTTTGGGCTTCTAGGGTTTGAAGGAACAACAACAACAAAAAAATCAGGAAGCTCATTTTCTGGAAAGGAGGAACTCCAATTGACTGCTTTTATAACAGGCTGATTTTATAACAAGGGGAAGACAGGAGGGAATAGATCAGGATTTTGTTGAACTTTTCCATTTGGCCCCCAACCAGACCACTCCTCTGTCCTCATGTGGGGGCAGCCGTGGATGGACCATGCAGTGGAGTGAGTTAGGAACTCTGGGGTGGTTGTTACGGTTAGTTTTATGAGTGGCCACTCTTTGTTTAGGGGGAGGGAGTTGCTCTGGAAATGGGGAAGGTATGGCAAAAGGAAAGAAAAAACAAGGAGAGAGGAACTGGGTCTCTTACCTCATAGACCTGGAAAAAAATAGGGATTTGAAGTCAGCATTTTGAAGGGAAAAAAAAAGAAGCAACACTTAATCACTCATTTCACACAGCTGGGACCCATCTGTGCTATACAAAGGTTTGGGGGCCAGTCCTACTGCACAGGGGACAGAGGAGCAAGAAGTCTCCTTTTGGGGATCCTCTCCTTACCACAGGCAACTGAGGAGCTAAAAGTGTTTTAGGTCTGCCTATGGAATTTCAGAAAGGTCATCCAAAGTCAGTTTAGGGCTATCAGGAGCCAGCTTGGGGGAGGTTGGGGGCTTGGGAGTTTGGGGGTTAACTATCTCTCGACTAGTCAATGGTAATATAATGGTTCCTTTTGAAGTAATATGGAAAGTTCCACAAATACTTCTCCAAAAAAACTGAAGAAACAACCTGCAGGAGCATCTAGAATGAATGGCTTTGTTCAGAAAAATCTCTCCATAGTATAGAAGGGAATGGAGGTGGGGTGGGCAAGCAGTTTGATAGGACGTTCCTTTCTGGATATTTCCTTCTGTTGCCAAATATATCTGACCCAATCAAAGGCATGGAGAGCTCCAGGGAAGCGGGTGTGCACAGGGTTGGAGAGACGGCCTCGGTACAAGTGGGGCAGGATGGGGTTAAGAGGAGAGTTTAGCAGACTTTGCTCTGAGCTGATGCCTGGGGCTTCGTATTTGCCCCAAGGCACCATATCTTGGTTAATTCTGGAAGGAACCAATCCCTATGCTGAGGTGGAGGTGACCCACCACGGCTCTACATAGTTCCTACCCCCTAAACTTGGACCTACCCAGCTCTTTTTTTTCTTCTTTTTTGCATCAGCATCCTTGCTGCTGCCAATGCTGGAATGGCTGGTGATGCTGTTGAGGCTCGAGATGCTGTCCGAGGAGTTCTGTCTCTTGATCCGGAGTTCTAGGGGCCAAGTATAAGTGGGAAGAACACATACAGGGTAGATTTAAAGAAGACATGGGGCTCTGGGCAAGTGTAGCTGCAGAAGGTGGAGGAGAAGGGCACCAGCAACTTCTCCGTCCACAGTATTCATTTTTTGGATCATTCTTTCAACAATTATTGAGGGCCAATCATGTTTTAACATAAAAAATGCTAAGGGTAAAAAATAAGTAAGAAATGATCCCTGTTCTCAAGAAGCTTCCAGTCTAGCAGGATAAACAGCAGTACACAAACTAATGAACTCGGCCTGAATAGGTCTGAGAAGGGCTTAATGAGCACTGGCCCTTGATAACTTGATGGAGACATCAACCTACCATTTTTTTTTTTTTTAAGTAAACTCTACCCCCAGAATGGGGCTCAAACTCACCACCCCTAGATCAAGAGCTGCACACTCCACCAACTGAGCCAGCAAGGCACCCCTCAACCTATCATTTTTCATGATTTTCCCCAGCAATACTTGGCTGCCTGGTGCTCCAAGGCCAAGTATAACTAGCCATGTGTCCTGCATTTAACCTGAATGAGCTTTAGCTGTCTTATCTGACAGGAAGAAAATCTTTTCAGCACTCTGAGGTTTGGAATGGCACAGAAGATGATCCACTTTTCCACCACAGGGAAGAAAAAAGCTAACCAGGGAGGAGATGTTTCAGTCTTGAAAGAACAGAAGTTCTTCAGATGGGAACACTGGGAAACTATCTGGGCTAAAGAAAAAGTACATGCAAAGGCCCTGTGCAGGCTTTGCTTTGGGGAACCTCAGGCAGACTGGAATGGAAGCACTACAAGGAGCACAGCAAGAGGTGAGGGTGAGGTTGGAGGTTAGCCTCAGGCCAGATCAGCAGAGCCCTGAATGCCTTTTAAGGAAATTTGCCTTTGTGGCATAGGTAATGAGCAAGAGCAGCAGAGATTTTGGAGCAAGATTTTTTTTTTTTTTAAGAGAGAGAAAGAGTGTGAGAGTCTGCTTGAGATTGTCTCTCTCTCTCTCTCTAATAAATACATAAATCTTAAAAAACAAACAAAACAAAACAGGTCGTGAGCCAGATTTGGCCAATGGGCCATGGCTTGCTAACCCCTAATTCACATCTCCCCCCAGAACATGTATTGCTTTTATGATAAAAATAAATTTAATTAAAAATTAGTTAACTAAAACTAAAATGAAGGGCAGCAAAATAAGTGTGTGTCTCTATCACCAGTTACTCAGAGGTTCCAAGTAGTTCTGAGTCTATCAATTAAAATTTAAAAATATGCTATATATTTTTATATATAAATACACATATATATGTTTTAGAAAGAAAGGATTTTTAGAATCAAATAACCTTCAGAAAGTTAGGAACTCTTTTGTGCATTTTTAATTTTGTGCCACATGCATTTATTACCTTTTCACAAATAAAATAAGGGTAGGTATCATTGCTTTAAGCATTAGCTTGTTGAATGCTCCTAGAAATCCTCCTGACCAAGTTGAGCCTGGGTCAACCGGAACTGAGGAAAACATGCAAACTCATCGCAAAAGACAGAAATGATTTATTCACTTAACAAATACATATCTGAAGAGTAAGGTGCACTTGGGAAGCCCAAAATAGCTTAATATTCCAGATTCATCACTTATGAGCTGTGTTTGACCAAGTGACTTATTTTCTCTGATCTTATTTTCAACCATAAAATATACTTTATAGGGCTGTTATCTGGAATAAACGAATCAATACAAGTACAGTCCTTGAAAAGTGCCTAGCATATGCCAAATGCTCAACAAATACATTTTTTACTAGCGCCACAGGTGGGGTACAGAGTGCAAGAAGAGAAAGAGTGGCAGACGAAGCTAGAAGGAAATGTTTGTCTTGGAAGCGGGAAGAAAGTACCCCACACTAATGGGTTTGGAGCATATTCTCTTTCCCTTTAACTTGTTTTTCTGAAATGTTTCAAACACACAGAAATACTTAAAAGCATAGGACAATGGGCACCCATATGCCCCCTCTACCTAATTTAACAGTTGTTAATATTTTGTTATATTTACACTTGTGCGTGTTCTCTTTCTTCCTCCACATACAAACAAGTGCACGCACACATACAGGCACACATATGTACAGATATTTTCTTGAATAATTGGAAAAGAAGTGGCAGACATCATGACACTTTGCCACTAAATCCTTCAGGACTCAATGGCTTTATATGGCAAACCAGTGAGACATAAAAGATGGCTCTTATATTAGTGGTTTGGGTGACCAGGCAGATGATATCTGAAATGGGCCAAACTGCAGAAGGGAAAGTGTTGGTTTGTGTATTTGTAAGGGAGGTGGAGGGACTGCCTTTTAATGCTGGACATGTTGAGTTAGGGATATCTATCAGGTGATCTAAGTGGGGATGTCCAAAAGTATTTGGAAATAGAGGTACAAAATTCAGGATGGGGATACAGGTTAGGAAGACAGAGATACATATTAAGAGGAGGTTGTAAAACTTATTGAGCTAATAAACTCAGCAAGTTTGCAGGACACAAGATCAATATATAAAAAAAATCCATTGTATTTTCATATACCAGTAATGAATAATCTAAAAAGGATATTAAGAAAAACAGTTCTATTTACAGTATCAAAAACAAATTTAACAAAGGAAATGCAAGACTTATATACTGAAAACAGCAAAATACCACCGAAAGAAATTAAAGAATAAATAAATGGAAAGGCATGCTACCCTTTGCCTTCTATCTTAAAAAAGACCTTGACCCAGGGGTGCCTGGGTGGCTCAAGTCAGTTAAGCGTCTGACTCTTGATTTTGGCTCAGGGCATGATCTCAAGGTTGTGGGATCGAGCCCCGCACTGGGCTCTGGGCTGAATGTGAAACCTGCTTAAGATTCCCTCTCTCCCTCTCCTGCTGTCCCTCCCCTCACTTGCGCTTGCTTGGCTCTCTCTCTCACTCTCCAAAAACAAACCGAACAAAGAGCTGTGGCTGGAGCCCTGGGAGCCCAGTCCCTGAAGACGAAGTGGAAGGAAGGAATGGGTTCTGTGAAGGAGTCAGAGGCGGTAGGACAAGGCCAAGATGGGAGTGATGACTCAGAAGCTATAGGGAGAATTTAATGAAGGAGGCCAGAACAGGGCCAAATCTTGGAAATCTTGGGATATTGCCTGTGTGTGTGTGTGTGTGTGTGTGTGTTTAGGAGAGGTTTTTTTGATCCCCTACCAAATGCCTGGCACCATGGTGAATGCTCACATAGGTCTTCTGGTAAAGGTGATAGTAATCGAAACAAATTATGGTGGGGTTAGGCAAGTAAGGGAAGTGGAAGGTAAGTCTGTGAAGGAAGAAAAGCAAATTATGATGGGGTCAGTTGGGTAAGGGAAGCGGAAGGTAAGTTTGTGAAGGAAGGAAAGAGATAAGACTATAATTAGAAAGGATATAGCAGATACATCTTTCATCTTCTTTAAAGATAAAAGAGCCTTTAGCAGCATTATAAGCAGAAGGGAAGGAGTGCATGGAGAGTAAGAGGTCAAAGATGTAGATGTGTGTGTGTGTGTACATGCGCGCATGCACGTGTGCGCAATGGGTATCGATGCTAGAGGGAGCATCCCAAAGCATTAGACAAGGGATCCCTCTTGGCCAGAAAGGACAGCCCCTTCCAACAAAACGCGAGAAAAATAAGTAAGGATCGGATGACTATAAATTGATGGAGCAGGGAAGTCAATGGAGTTCTTACTTGAAAATGTTTATTTTCTTGTTTAAGGAGGAGGCAGAGTCTATGTTCAGGGTGAGGCAGGTCAGTGGTGGAAGAAGGGGCTGGAGAACAGTGACAGAGGTTGGGGATCACTGCTAGTGGAATAAAAAGGAAAACAGACTACAAGACAAGTTAGAGGACCATCCAACTACCCAGAGAGCCTGCCTCGAATCAGAGATTGCAGGGTTTGGGGGCATCAGACCACTACTCATCTCGACCTTCTCTAGCAAAGCTTGACTGTTTGGCTGTTAAATGCTAAGGCTAACTTGTCACTTGAGCCCCATGTAACCGCCGTGATATTTGCCTCATTTGAATAATAGATTGCACCCCCTTGGAGAACCGATATGAGGATCAAATAAGATGATATGTCTGTGTGTGTGTGTAAAAATGTGAAGTGCTGATTTTTTAGACTTTATTTTGTAGAGTAGTTTTAGGTTCACAGCAAAAATTCAAAGGAAGGTACAGAGGGTTCCCATATCCCCCTGTCCCCCCAACATGCATAGTCTCCCCCACTATCAGCATCCCCCATCAGAGGGGAGCATGTGTTACAACTGATGAATCTGCGCCGACGCATGATTATCAGCCAGAGCCCATAGCTGACATTAGGGTTTGCTCTTGGTGTTACAGCCATCCGATGGCTTTGAACAAATGTGTAATAACAGGTATTTACCATTATGGTATCATACAGAATACTTTTGCTACCCTAAAAATCCTCTGTGCTCTGCCTATTCACCCCCTCCCTGCCCCGCCACTCAGCCTTGAGCCTTTTAGAGTCTCCTTAGCCTTATCATTTCCAGAATGTCATATAGTTAGAATCATACAACATGTAGCCTTTTCTTATTGGCTTTTTCCACTTAGTAATGTACATTTGAGCCTGCTCGATATCTTTTCATAGCTTGATAGCTCATTTCTTTTAATGCTGAATAGTATTTCCTTGACTGGCCATAGCACAGTTTGTTCACCCATTCACCTACTGAAGGACGTCTTGGTTGCTTCTAAGTTTTGGCGATGATGAATGAAGCTGCTATAAACATCCAGGTTTTTCTGAAGACATAAAATTTTAACTCCTCTGGGTAAATACCAAGGAGTGAGACTGCTGGATCAAATGGTAGGAATACCTTTAGTTTTTTTTTTTTTTTAAGAATAAAGTGCTGTTTTATTGATGGTCTTTGACAACTCTTGAGCTCTGCCCTCGAGGTTCAGGGGAGGACCCATGGGGATGACAGGTCTGCTCTACTCTCCCTCATCCCCAGAGATGGCAGGGTCATGCCCTTGGCCCTGACCACCCAGAGCATCATACTGAAGGGCATCAAAGTGCCCTCACATTCTAAAAATCTGATATGGGACTTGGCATATTGTAGGCATAGATAAAAATCTCCAGTAACCCCATTCCTGTTCTCCTTCAATCTGTGGTCAGATTTCTTACCTTTGGGGGTGGTTTCTGAGGCATTAAGGGCTCCCTGAATGACGGCCTGTGCTTCAGAGTTCTTTTTCTTCAGGAAGTCTATAGTTTCTCGTAAATCCAGCAGCTCAGTGTCCTAAGAGAGACATGACCATAGTGTCATTAGTTGGGATTGGGAGCCCCTACTCTGCGCCAGGCAGTGGGCTAGGCACTGGAATTCTTCCAGACTTGATAGAGAAGGCAGGGAATCTCCGAGGGGAGGATTCAGGGTGATGGGACGGAGGGAGAAACCGGTGCTCAGGAGAGAGGGGAGGAGGTTAGCCCTGGTCTGTGCATGAGGAGAACTCACAGCTCTCCTACCTTCTCCTCTGCTGTCTCTGCCAGGTGTCGGAGGCGGGATGTCATATTCACCAGGCTCTGCTCGAAAGCTGCCACTAGATTAGCCTGAAAGAAACACGGAAGGAGGTGCCTAAGTTGCCTGAGGCTTGGGAAAAGAAAAGACTGTGATGGGAGGTAGTTTGAGGTGATTTTCTGTGTCATAGCACTGACCAATGCCAACAACCCTCTTGGTGATTTTTGAATATCGATTTCCCTGAGCAGAGAAGGTAGAATCAGACATCTTTCTGGCCTGAAGAGATTTTCTGGCGGGCACCAGCTTCTTGACAGCATTAAGGCAAGGCAGGCTTTTGGAGGCTCTTGGACTCTTGGGATCGGGTACCTATCATTACCAGAGGTGGGACTGTCCCTCTGCTCTTCAGGAGGGCCATAACCTCTGGGTCATTCTTATTATCTTGACTTAATGCCTTCATTTTCTGACAGGCTGGCCCCCATGGGGCCAAGTCACCTCCCAGTAGAAACCATTTGGTGCCTCTCTCCACCACTGCTTTTTTTTTTTTTTAAAGATTTTGTTTATTTGACAGAGAGAGACAGTGAGAGAGGGAACCCAAACAGGGGGAGTAGGAGAGGGAGAAGCAGGCCTCCCACCTAGCAGAGCGCCCGATGCGGGGCTTGATCCCAGGACCCCAGGATCGTGACCTGAGCCGAAGTCAGACGCTTAACGACTGAGCCACCCAGGCGCCCTCCACCACTGCTTTCAAGCACCCTCTGTTCTTAACTCCCTCCCCCTTTTCCTAGTTCCTCGTTTCTCCCCGCCGTCTTTTGCAGGGCTGGAGAGAAACAGCTCAGGAAAACTTCAGGGGCGTTCCAAAGTTTGGCCACTAGATGTCACGTGTGATTCATGAGGAGGAGGCCGGTGGGGGGAGGGTGGAGCTGAGGCAACTTGGAGCCGGCCTAGCACTCTAAGCTGTTCACCTGGCAGCAAGATGTATAGGGAAGGTGAAGGGAACGAAGCATGGGGCCAGAAAGGGGAACACGAGGGGATGGAGAAACAGCCGTCACTGGAGGGTATCTGAGCAAGTCAGTGACTCTAGCAAGAAGTGACAGGCATATTTTGGGCAGATCTTTCATACAGAGCTCGAGGACGTAGGTCTATGACACTTGTCACTGCTTTCTGTGGGCCACTGATTCTCTCTTTCGGTTGCGCCAACTCTAGTTTTCAGCCTCTGCCCTTGAAACATGCCTGGAGGCTACTATCATTTGACAGTGGCTGGCGGCAACCCGTCTGGGCCAATGTGAGCCGCCTTGTCCACGTGCATGCCCTATGAACCTGTCAAGCCTGGGCTCTCCTTGGCAGACCCATGTCATGACCCCGAGCCGTTGACTTTCACCCACTGTACAGGGAAATCCTGTTTTCTTGGCCTTGGGGTGTCTCTTGTTCACTTCTCTACATCCCTGTAGAGGTGTGTAAACAGCCTGCTTGGAGTCCCTGGACATCTCTTCGTGAGGGACCCCAACAACGGTTAGCTCCCCTTCTCACTGGGGGCTCCCTCTGCTCTGGGTGGGCGTTCTTCCTGTCTTATACACATCCTCTCCCTCCTCTGAACCTTCCCTAACCCTCAGCCTCACCAGGGTGCCTGTAAGACCTCAGGGCTGAGCAGTGGTGCCAGAGAGAGGCTGGCTCTCTGGAGAGGTGAAACGGCTTGCAGCCCCTCCCTGTCTGGGATGTGTCCTCCGCGTGGGCAGCTGGGAAGTTCCACAGAACGTGACCAAAGCTCTGTCAGCAATCAGGGGATCCTGGAGAGTTCTGGCATCACATCTCCTGCTTGAGGGCAGGGCTCTGACCCTCAGCAGGACTCTGCCTCTAAAATTCAGAACCCATCTTGTCTGGCTGTTTGGTTTGTTCTCTCTTAGCCAAAGGGAACTTCCTGTTCAAAGAAAAATCACCTTCTAAATTCATTTTCTTGGCTCTCACCCATCCTTGACAGCATGATGGCTGACAGACTCAGTGTAAATGAATCAGACACACTAATGCTCTCCGCCCACCTGGTGCCTCTCCCAGATGTGAATTTCCTGGGGTGTGCAGGACGTGACCCAGGCCACCAGCCGTGGTGGGTGGGGCACAAGGGAGGGGAAAGATGGTGCTTGCTTATATTATAATTTTTATGGGTCCCCGAGAGTGGAAGACGGTGGGTGATATGGGCTTCCGACAAACTGGTGAGTGTACAACTTATGAGTGGAGGGTTTGGGAAAAGAGAAATAGAGAATAACCAGCGTGGTGAGGGAACTGCTGTTGAAATAGGATGGAAACATGCAAAATCTTGGTGAAGAGTCTTCTACCTGATCCCAAGGGAAGACCCCCAGGCCTGACAGCTGGGTTCCCCAGAGAGGAAGGGATGAGAGAAAACCCAGAAAGTCCTGCGGAAACTGTAGACATGGTCACTTTTGTGTGAACACTTGGAAGGCTCCTGCAAATCCGGCTCAGCTGTTGTTTACAGCTTTGGGGGAAAATGGCTCTTATGTTCTCCGTTTGCAACTTGGTCACAGGGGAGAAACTACCACAGCCTAGTGAGAGGAGGCAGCCTCATTTCCCCCCCATCCCACAGGGTCGAAAAGCCAAGGTCTACAGAAAGAAAGAAACTCATTCTACTGGGATGGACTGACAGCAGGTCGAGGGCAGAAACAAAGAATCCTGGCTCCCAACCTAAAGCTCAGGTAATTTCTGCCACCTGCCCAAGGAGACAGCTACGGAAAGGCAGCTGTGAGGGAGGCAGCTGGACCGGAACGAGAGTGTGTTTCTGAGTCGTGTCACACTCATCAGGCAGAATGTTCATAGCCAGTTCTGTGCCCGCCCAGTTCTGTGGCCTGAACAAAGACAGGAACATACCCCAGGGCAGCAGCAAAGAGTTCTAAGGGCTCTCTAATACATGACTACTTGTGTCCATGGCCAATGGCAAGGTTGTTCCTACGTCCATGCAGAACCACTGATAATCCTCCTGGCTTTCTCTAGGGAGTTCAAAGACCACGGGGCGTGAACTCATCCATACCTATTCATTAGGGTGGGGGCAAAAACAGTTCTCTATAAAAATTGAGACTCAGTGAAGGCCAGTTTCCCAATCCTCTGTCATAAAGCTGTGAACAGGACCCGCTCCCTTGGACTCTAAGCCCAGGGGATACCTTACGAGAGAATTCTCCTCCTTTGGCTGAACTTATCTGACTTACGGCCAAAGTAACTGCCTGGGTCTTCCCCTACTTTATGGCACTCACATTGGCAGAAAGTTGAGACGTCAGGGTGGCCACTTTTTCCTGGGATGATTCCAGTTCCCTACGAAGCTTCCGGATTTGCTGTGAAGGGGAGAGAAATACACACTTATGGCAGCAGCAGAAGTAGGAGATCTGGAAGCAGAATGGGGCACAGTGGTGTTAACAAGCAGAGACAAAGGCTTCACACCCTACCTCGGATTGCATCCTCTCCTCAGCCTGAAGAAGGAGCACAGGAGAGAAAGAGAGAAGGAGGTAGTTACTACGGAGGTGAGCAAGCCAGGCCCCAGTGGCAGGGCGGAGAGCTTGGAAGAAGCGTGACTCGGAGGTACGGAGAGGCTGAAACTCAGCGTCTTGGCCGCCCTGGCCCCTCACAAGATGGGCTAAGACCCTACCCTTGGGTTCCAATAAAAGATTTCTCTGGAGCTCGTCTCTAGCCAACTTTGTCATTGCCAAGAAGGCTAGGAAATGGAACTCCAGTTGATCTGAAGACTAATCCTTACTGCCGCAAACTTGAAGGAGTAAAAAACCGTGGGCAAAAAAATCTGAGAACCAAGTTATACCTAACGGCCAAACGCAGTGTGCCCAGTCCCCTGTAGGGAACACTTGGTAAATGCAGTACACTATTAGGATGCTGGAGTCCCATAAACCTAAACCTACCTAGCCTACCTTGCCATGAATGCTTCCCACTTACCCTGGCACAGAATGGGCTCTATCACAAGGGGATTATCGATTTTTCAAAGGAGGGGAACCAAAGGGCACCAGAGTTTGCTCAGGAAATCGGTGGTGAGGCCAGAAAGACTACCGAGGAACTGATGCACTCAACTGAGTGCTCCAAGCTCTAGGCGGCTTCCCCGCCCCCACCCCAGATCCACAAGGCATCATGAACAGGTAGCAGTCCCCCTCCCCAACCCAGTTCCCCAACCAACCCAGGTTCTGGGGAGGAGTGCAACGGCAGGCAAGAGGGGATAAGGGAGGAAGAGAAGTAACGCTCTTACTGAGGAGTAAGTGGAGGAGGCACTGGAGGCCAGGGACAGCACTGAGCCATGAACTGAAAGAGAAGCAGAACACAGAGTTAACAGAGGGTTCCAGGGACAAGGGGTTCCTGGGCAGAGCCCGAAGGCAGGAGTTTGGATTCTGATTCTGGAGGGCATCTGGAGCAAACAGGAAGAACACCATAGGGGACCCAACTGGTAGCACGACAGCCCCGAGCAGGCAGGTGTCTGCTGAGGAGGCAAGGTCCTGAGCAGAGCTAGCCTCCTCCTTCAGTCTACGTTTTCGGGCAGCCTGGGGATGGCGGGCCCTCGCTCAGCCTGCTCCTGCTCCGCGGGGCATGAGGGTTCAGGGAGAGGGGAAGGAGGTGTTTGTGGACAGGCAGGAAAGTACTTAAGCTGCGGAAGAGGGCAGTTTCCCATCAGAGCTGCTCAGAACAAATCCTGCGATTTGACCTGTGTCTCCTCTTCTCAGCTCTGGGGACCATGCAGGAGGCCAACAGACTGAAGTGTAAAATCCTCGTTCTGATGCTTCCCTAGCCCCACCGAGAGAACCACAGCGCCCCTGCAAGGATGCCTCCAGGCGGAGCGGCCTGAAAACAGCGGGAGGTCTGCTCTCCAGCGGTCTTCCAGGCTCTGGCCATGAACACACGTCACCACGGACAACCATAGGGCCCTCCCTGAAGCTAACCTTTGGAACATTCTTGAAAGAGGAATGAGATGCCTAATTCTTTCCCAGGGTTTAAGAGCCACCCTTATATCCCTGGACCTTTCCACATTTGCTGAGAGACTGTGGGGAGGAGAAGCCGCTGCTGCAACGAGGAGGGGAGGAGCTACAGTTTCGGGAGCACTCCGAGGGGTACCATGTAACCCTTCCACGCTCCACTTCCCTCCCCCGGCCCCGATGGCGGGTGCTCCATCCCAAAGCCCCAGTGCCAGACGGTGCCACCCAAAGGTTTCTGGGCCCCTAGCCCCTTCAAAGGGATGGGAAGAACTGGAATGGCCCCGACTTGATGTTCTGTGAATCATATATGTGTGTGTGGTGGTGGTAGTGGCGGTGGTGGTGGGTGAGGGGACCCAGCAGAGCTGGAATGAGCGTGAACCGCGCTGGCATGAAGTCTCACCATCGTCCGTGGGGTCTCGGAAGGATCCTGACCGAATCATCCCCTTGGGTCTCTCGGCCAGGGACAGGGTGCTCCCCATTTGGGAGCCGCTGTACAGCTCGAAGGCCGCCTCGTGGGTGGGGATGCTGTTGGAGCGGGTGATTCTTGGCGTGGTGGCCGCAGTGGGACTCACTAGAAGGACAGAGGGGAGGGGGACAGGAGAGGGAGGGGGAGGGCAGGAGAAGAGGCAGGGTCATCAGCTCTCCGGGTCCCTTGGGGAATGGAGCACCAGGAGCACGGGAGGCAAATGGTGAGGGGGGGCAGGAGAGGAAGGGGTAGGGGGGCGGGGGAGTGTGCAGGCAGCTGGTGGTTAGGAGTGGGGTCGCTCCCAGGGAGATCGAGCCCTAATGGGGAAGGACCCTGCCGTGGGGAATAAAGGGGGAACAGCGCTTCCTATTTTAAAAGACCTTCCCTCAGCCCTGCCTGCCCGGGAACTGTCGCTTTTGAAGGTCAGGCTGGGGGCCTGGCAGCTTTTCCGAAACCTTCACATCAGTTGAATGTGCCAATGAAATGGGATGTTGTGGTTCCGTAGAATACAACCGGCAGCCTGCGAGGACTAAGAATTCAGACCAAGACTCAGATCTGAATGATGACAAAGAGGCAGCTAGAGAAGGGGGCCGGGCTATGGGCTCGGACGGGCTCGGCACTACGGGAGGGACTGAGCCTTTCCCCACAAGGGTGTCATTCTAGGCCACTGGTCGGTTCTGACGCAGCAAGAAACACAGCCCTCTCCGCCCAGCATTCCCCTGGCTGGAAGGTCAGACGGATGGAGCAGGTGAGAGCGTCAGAATCTGCTTTGAAGTGGGGCTCTGCTGAATCCCGGCTGACCTGCAGCACCTGCTCCCCTCCGGCCCTCCCCCTGCTGGGGTTACAGCCTCCCAGGGTTCACAGCCACATGGAGTTCCCCTTGCCTATTCTTTTGCCTCCAAAGATAGGCGGATGTCTAGTCCCTCCATAAGGACCTGCGCAGAAGACGATTTTACACCTCCCTTGGCCCTTCCGAATACGTAAGGTGATCATGGTTTAGCCCAGCCCCTTCATCCTGCAGCATCAGTGCATTTCCTCTTGTTTGGTCCTCAGTGCAGATGGAGAACAAGCTGGCCCCGTCCTCCACCTAACGGCCCTTCGGCGACCAGATGACCTTTCCTTATGAATCCCTCCCTTCTCTAGGCAAAACGATCCTGATTCCGTTTTTCCTCAAATGCCCCACAGCCGTCCCACAGCCTGTTACAGGTCCTCGTGTTCCCTTACTGCGTTGCTTCACTCAGCTGAACAAGGAGGTGGATCTAGAAAGACACAGCAAACCACAGGCCTGTCCTAGGCTCTGTCCTAAAGGGGTTCCCACTGGGCCCATCACGGCCTGCTGATCCCCGGGGCCAGGCCTCCACCTTAAGCTCCCTCCCCTCCCTGCCTCTGAATCCGCCGTCTCTTCCAGCTTCCCTTACCAGCCTTTCTCCTCAGGCCAGCACGTGTCTTCAGCAGCGCTGCCTTCAGGGCTAGGCTGGTCCCGGCCCAGCCACAGCCCCCGGGGAACCGCACTTTTCTGGGTTTGTAGGCAGAGTCCAAAGTCTGCAATCAACGGTTCCCTCCTTCCTCTGGACCATCCCAGCCATGGCCGTCTAGTATTGCTGCCCTGGGCGTGGCTGGCGGCTCCTTTCTGGAAAGGACTGCCTGCCCCCTGCACTGGTCTGATCTCCAGGCCTTGCTTGATGGCTCTCCCACTCCATCATTCAGACTCCCCGGTGCTCCAAGCACCCTACAGCTTACAGCTGGTGCCCGGGGGCGACTTTTCAGTTGAGGATCTTGGAGCATTTTGCCCTCAATCTGAGTGTGGACGGACACACTGAGGCACCACGAAGGGGCACAAGACAGTGGGAGTCATAGAGGAGATGGAACCTAAAGTCCAGCTGCCTTGCCTCACCCGGCAGGGTGAGCCCTGCTTCATCCCGTGCCGCAGTGAGTGACCGGAAACACTGACCTATGTTGGTGAGCTGGCCCTTTGCGCTCAAGGACATGGAGAGTGCAGGGGGGGAAGGCAGCTCTGACTGGTCGTCGGACTCGGGCAGCCCACCAATGGTATGAGAGTGTCGCCTCTCCTTGGTCTCCTCCTGGGACTGAAGCTGGTACCTGCAGGACATAGCAGAAGGACTCAGTCTGAGCAGCTACAAAGTGCTATCAGAGGTCTGGCGGGTGTGGAGGTTCTCAACGCAGGATAAGGAAAAAAGGGGGGGAGCGGACAGAACTGCCTAAAGAGGGAACAAGACACGTGCTGACTCAGCATTTTCTCCCACACCATCAAGAGAGTCCCGAAGGACCAGCAGGTATCTCTATGGGCTATCATGAGGCGGGGACTGAAATGACAGAGGGGGCATGAGAGCCTCTACCCCGAAGCTCAGGGCAGAGCTTTGCGGCTCCCTCTGTGGGCTTCCCAATTGCAGGAGATCTTCACCTCAACGAAGAACTCAGTGATCACTGGGGTGCCCTGCTCTTGCCCACTGGAATGACCCCTGAGGCAGCCTGTCCTCCCTCTGACTTTGAGGAAAATTACAGGGAGGGCGTTTGGTCAGGATTGGGCTAGCACAGGCTGGGGCAGGTAGTTGAGGATTCCCACGTGCCGACTTGTTTCTCCTCTGTCAACAAGGAAGAACACTGGCCATAAAGCTGACTCACACATCACAGTAAGCCTGGGTAGGGCGCTGGGTGGTATATACACAGGAACCGCAGGCAAGTAACTCAGCTAAAGGGGACACTGAATTCATGACTGGGACTCAGGACAGGTCAAGGTACAGATTTTTATACCGACCAGGGAACCCAGATACAGGGAAGGGCAAACACATTGAAGGGTTACCTGAGCCCTTTCTTGGGAAGAGTGTTCCGATCCCGCTGATTACTGCGTAGAAAAAGAAAAAGAGAAGCACGTGAGTCCATCTTAGAAACTCGAGTTTGGGATCATTGGTTTGTGGGACACAACACCTAACACAGGACATCAAACTGTGGGCCCCTTTATCTCTATAAACAAAATAGGAAGATCTTTGCCGTCCGCCTCTGGGCTTACAGCTTGAGAGATTCACTCGAAATGCTGAGTGTTTTTCTCTGTTTGGGAATCAGGATGTGGCCAGCTATTTAAAAGGTCCTATTAGGGTGTGATATAATAGAAACCAGTCTGGCCTCAAAAGCAAACGCTTTGGATGACACGTGAAACTAATTATGGAATCTCGGGTAAGTCGTTTAATGTCTGTGCACCGGTGCCCCCATCGTACAACGTCACAGTGATAATGATGATAATAATAATAATGTATAAACATAGTAATTTAAAACTCCTACTTATCTCACGGAGCTGTTGTGAAGCAAATGAAATTACTTAACGAGGGTGAAAAAAATGTTCAAAGTCACAATATGACAATCAAATATGGGACCGTGTTACTGACGGCGAAAGGGGCCAGAAGCACAGGGACGGACCCAGGCTCAGCTGTGTCTCTCTCCACCCACCTGTCCAACTGCCCAGTTCTGGGGCTTCCGCTCCAGGCCAGCTCTTCTGCCTCTTCCTCTGGGGGTACAGCAGCGGGGGCAGGTGGGGTGGGGCCAGGAGTACTGCTGGGGAAGGCACTGGGCAGGCTCATTGGCATCTGGAGGGACTCCATGCTCCTGTGCAGGCCTGAGAGTTTGGGGTACATGCGGGTCTCTTTGGGGACACTGAAACCACTCATTAGCTCCAGGCCCTGGGAGAAGCTGGCTGAGTTAATATTGAGAATGGGTGCTGGACTGGGGGTGAAGCAAGAAGGAAGAGGGCTCCCGCTTGCTGAGCTTGTGGGATGCAGATCTGGGACCTTGGAAGCGTGGGCATCACTTGATGATGGCAGATCCAGACTGTTGGAGTTGACCTTGTCTAGGTTGGCTAGTGAGGGTGGCTTGACAAAGCTCTTAGCTGTGGCCCTGAGGGAAGTGAAAATTAAATGAAGTATTTAGAACCACAGAGTTCCGGAAGCGCGAGGCAGATTGGATCTCAGAGTACTCTCTTGTTTCCCCGTGCCTGGCTGTTTAAGCGCAGAGGCTTATTATCCCAATGCTGCTGTGAAATACGCTGGAAGGAAATCTGCTATCTGACTTGGGGTCCTTCAAGTCTTAGTGAGGGGGGCGGCACATGCACGTGGGAGACCCCGCGGATTTGCACACAAATGGGTACACGTGTGTCAGTAGACAATAGTACAACCACTAGGACAAGCGCTGAAGACAGGTTAAGGGCTGAACGGGGAATAGAATAAATGAGGTGAGTTTTGAAAGAGGGAGAAGGAACTTGGCATATAGGGGAGTGGGTGGGGGGGAGCCGTGCAAAGGCCCAGAGGCCAACAGTGGCTAGGCCATGCCTCGCTCAGTCTCAGTAGTATACGGATATGGAAAAGAGAGAGCAGACAGACGAGGAAGAAGCTGCCCAGTTTGGGTACCTGAGAGGGGTTGGTGGCAGCTCCGCCAACTTGGTGGCTGGGGGGTGGCTGGCTTGGTTCTTAGGAGTACTCTCTGGGGAGCCAATGCTCTTCAGGGAGATGTTGTCTGAGTCCAAGGCCACTGCCTTGGCTTTGGCTTTCTCCTTTTCCCGATCCGTCTGATTGACAGGGGCTGGAGTGGTCCGCCCGCTGGCCACCTTGGAAGGTTCCTTTAGTCGGGAGGGGGTAAGGCCCCCCTGCTTCGTGCTGAGGAGGCTGGGGTCAATACTGCTGCTGACAGGGCGAGGTCCGCCCCGGCCGCCGGTCACGCTCATAGAGCTAGACTTGGCTGGCCGGGGCAGGCTTCGGTACTGGATGTTGGAACGGGCGCCAGGAGCCAGGAATCCTGGCTCCGCACTGTTGGACACATCTAGGCTAGTCTTGCGTCCGTTCACGGGCTTGACAGGGATGCCTGAGGACTTCTGGATCTTGCTGAGAGTGGCTGAACCACCGGTCTGCATGACGGTGGCTGTGCCTGTGGCGGGCGGCGGCTTCTTGTAGCCAAAAGACCCCGAAGTGGAGGGGCGAGCAATGCCAGAGGGAGGCTTCTTGGCATCGCTCAGGCGGTCCCGGCCGGCGTCCGAAGAGGAGCGCTGCAGCCCCGTGTTCTTCACGGCAAGTTTACCCTTGTCGGCAGCTTTGCCTTCAGGTTTGCCTGCAAGAGGGCAGGAAAGGACGTAAGAGTAGCCGAAACTGGGGCGCCTGGGTGGCTCAGTCGTTAAGCGTCTGCCTTCGGCTCGGGTCATGACCCCCGGGGTCCTGGGATCGAGCCCCGCATCGGGCTCCCTGCTCTGCGGGAAGCCTGCTTCTCCCTCTCCCACTCCCCCTGCTTGTGTTCAGTCTCTCGCTGTGTCTCTCTCTGTCAAATAAATAAATAAAATCTTAAAAAAAAAAAAAGAGTAGCTGAAACTGGCCAATATCTTGGCAGTATCCCGGCAAATCCTCTTCTTCCCCTCCACGGGAGAAGGAAACATTGTCAACGTGCTTTAGAATTTTGAGGCCTCAACACATGTAAGTGGGTACTACGTAAGCAGATGACATTTCTTGCCAGAGGAAGGAGACCGGCGAGGCGTGGCCTCGGGGTTTTGTTCGTTTTGCTTTTTGTTATTTTCTCCTTCTAGAGCAGGATATTCCATTTTGGTTCAAATGGCAGAGGCAACCACAAAGGTTATTAAGAAAGAAGTGCATCGAACAACTGGTCACGGAAGGGAAAAAAGGAGGAGATGCAGACAGAGTATGGCCATACCTCCTGGTAAGTAGAGACTGGAGGGAAATGTGGACAAAGGTGAGAAGTTACCCAAGGGGCCAACTTTGGGAGCAATACAATTCTGATTTAATGTTTTCTTGGGACCTCCTTGGGAGGTCAAGCAAGTACCTTGTGAAGACAAGCACACCAGCCAATTGTCTTGGGAAGTGTTTGAGGGCTGGTCCAACTAGTCTCTGAACGTAACACACTCCCTCCACTACCTCTTCTGAGCTGTATGATTTTGGCTCTGCCACTGAAACCCTTTGTGTTGTTATTTCTACAGGTGTCAAGTGGAGATAGTAACACCCATCGTCCCTAACTCACAGGACTGTTGTGAAGACCAGATCATACATATTAAAGCACTCTGCAAATGTCTGCCATCATCTTGTGGGCTAAGGACCGTTAAGAAGAGGAACAACCCAAGAAACACGTCTTTGCCCTCGTCCCTTCCTTCACTCTGGCCTCACCTGCGACTTTGAGGGCGCTCTGGGCGGTGTGAGTGATGGGGGACGTGACAGCCACTGGTGGGGTCTTGCCCTTCTTCAGGGAACCGGGGTGTCCGAGGCTCACAGGCTTTTTCAGTTCTCCAACCTTGGATGAATCATCACAGCTCTCGGGCCGCTCTCTCCGCCACTTTGAAGTCCCGGGTTCCATCTTCAGGCTACCGCTGTCGTACTCCAGTTTTTTGGGGGCCTTCTCCTCTGACTCACTAAACCAGCTCAGCCCACTTTCGGCCAGTGAGCGCTTCTCTGAGTCTGTGCGGAGCTGAAGGAAGGAAGAGAAAAAGCAGAGCGGGATGCTCACCTGGGGATGGGAAAAAGGAGGTGGAGGGGATGGGTTTTGGTGGCTGGGTGGCCCTGCTCTTTCCCGAGTATTATGTCAACCCAGGGTTTCTACCTACATCTCTAAGGGACCAGAGAAAAGACATCCTATGTATCTCAGGGCTTTTATTTTTTTTCTCCTCTGGCTGGAATAACTCTTACAAGCATCACTCCAAGTCAGCGGGGACACTAAATACAGGGGCTCCGAAGGCAACAGCTAATGTCTTAGGTGACTGGTTGGTAGCCTCAGGTTTCTTTGGGCCAGCTCTAAAAGGACCTGGCCAGAGGCAAATGGGAACCAGTCCCACGGAGTGGGGGGGTGCATGTGCAAACCCATCTGCCCCGTGGTTCATCATGAGAGGGTGGCCTGGGTGTTTGTAAACTCACGTACCGCTACTGTAGAGTTCCTGCGAGAAGCAGTGGGCGTCGTTGGGAGGGAGTTGAGGGAGGAACTGGCATTGAACTCTTCTGAGCTGAGGTTGTCCGAGGCATCACTGAGCCCACTGCTGATGGAGCTGCTCTCATCCCAGCTGTAGGACAGGAGAGAAAAGTTAGCAGTTAGAACAGAAGTCAAGACAAGGAATAAAACTGTCATGTGCATGGAAGAACGGCTATTCCAGCCTATAGACTGGCCAGGAGGAGAAAGCTTGAAGGTTAGTCCCGGGTTTGCCAGTAACTTGAAGTATAACTTGGCGGTGTTCTTGTATAAAAGGAAGAAAGTCTGTCTTTATCTGGCAAAGGAAGACATTACATCTCCTCAATGGAAAGGGATACTGTAAAGACAAGGTAATTCTTGGATCGATCTAATTATACAATTTCCTCTCCCGATCGATGGTCTCCATCCTTACAGTTACCATGTCTTTGTTCATTTCTGGATGTGTACTCCGGGTATTTTTCCTCTCTTTTTCAAAATTTTCCATACCTGGTAACAAGGGCCAGGAAAAGATTTATCTTTTCTAGGACCCCTAAGACCTGTCATTTCTCATTGCTCCCCTGCTTATACAATTTGCTGACCCCAGGATCGGGCTTTGCTTCCAAGCAGCATGTACCGCTCTGCTGATAAATGAACCACACGTAAGGTGCTGTGGCCAAGTGTAAGCGCCAAATTTGTGCTGAATGGTTTCCTTTTTCCGCCAATTGCTTGGAATATCAGATTTGTGGTATCTGGGAGAGACTGTTGTTGAGCATCTGTATATGCAAGTCTTTCTAGAAAGAACCCTAGTCCATATACTAAGTGAAATTAATACAGCCTCCATCTCTTTGGAGCTCGGACTCTACAACATTCCCTTGGATGTTCATCTTTTTTGTGTTTAACAACTTTTGCAGTTAGAAAGTTAATTCTTACCATCTGACCTAAATAGCCTCCTCTGCCTTGATACCAACTTCCTTTTGTTCTCTCCTTATTGGCTGTTCGCAAGTTTCTTCTTCACATTATTTTCTGAGTTCAAAATCTGTTTCCTAGAACCTTTTTTCAAAGGTCCTGTGTTCTACACCTTCCACTGTTTCTACTACTCCCTTCTGGACCCGAAAAAGTCCTTCAGATTTCACTCAAGTTTTAGAGCCCAAAACTCAACACGGACTTCAGGAAGACTGCAATATGAGAGCAATTTGTTTGTGCCTGTAGGAATCATTCTCTAAATCCTTGCATCTGTGTTCACAGGTTTGTTTATCGGCTTTGCGTGTGTGAAGGATTAAGAGGCTAAAGATGTTTTTTGTGAATTAGCTGGTATCTGGAAAATTTTTCCTTTTAGATTTATTTTGAGTGTCAGATCATGGAACAAAAGTCAGACATACAAGCCATCTAAGTTCTTGGCCCAGATTTCAGCTGGCCTCCCTTTAATTTATTTGCTGGGAATAGGAAAGTGGGTGGTTTGGACATTTGGCTTGGTTGCTCTGGAGTGATTAATCCAAATACATTGAGAAAGAGCAAAGAAAGCATGGGGATTAGAACACACTACAGTGTGATTTCAATTTTATTACTAAGAAATACAGCCCTTATTAAAACAAGCAACCTCTTTTTTCCTCCACCCATGACATATATTAATCCCGCATTTATCTTGGGCTAAGATACCATAGCCCCCATTTTGTAGAGAAAGAATACTGAGGAGGAAAGATCAATTCTGGCTTTATGATCCGATCAGCTCTTCTGGGTCAAGATAAGATCTCTGGCAAGCAAACAAACAAACTATTCACAACATGTTCTTTTGGGTCAAAGACAGAGGAAGCCTGTAGCACTGAACCTTCCATCTGAGATTAATTATTGGTAATGAAGGTCTTGGAATGGAGAAAAGTCTTATGGACGGGCTCTTGCAAAAAAAAAAAAAAAAAAAAGGAAGGGCTGCTGCAGTCCACCAGTCTAAAAGAAACCAACTTTGCCCTACATTTATGGAAAGCCTAATAGCAAAATAAAGGAGGGGAATGCATCGTCTCGGAGAGGGTTTCGGTCCTCTTTGCCCAAAAGACGTTCCTGGGTCCCAATTCCTAAAGTGAGAGAGTATCAGCCTAAAATTCTTGGGCAAGGTTGGCTAGAGGATTTAAAGATTTCCTAGGAAAATTCCTTTGCAGATTCTGGACAAAAGGAAAATTCTGTTGTCATTACCCAAGGGTTAAGCATGTCCACTGGAGATGCTATAGGGGAGGGAGCATATTTTCCTTCTTTAAGACAAATATTAGGAAATAATGGATGCTATAGTCAAGACTCAAACATTACATGAAATTATAAAGGGAAAAAGAAAAAATGCCCCCTTTCTGTCCTCCCACTTTTATTTTTAAAGTAACCACTGTTAATAGTTTCTTGTGCTTCCTTCGAGAATATCCCCATTCTTCTGTGTTCTAGCTATTTGCTCTCTGGATCTGCTGGCATCATGGGCCCACACCTCATCATCTTGGGTCTCTTTCCCAGGCTCTTAAGTTAGAACCTCAGTCTTCCTCTTTGTTGGTTTACTTTCTTGTTTTAGTGAAGTACCTCTACAAGGAGGTTTCTGAAAAAAGATGCTTGGGAAGCAAACTTGGTAAGATCTGACACATTATAAAATGTCTTTATTCTGTTTTTACATGGGAAATTTTGTCTAGCCATAGAAGCCTAAACTGAAAGTAATCTCCTCTCAGAATTTAAAGGCATTGCTCCATTGTTTGGCCTCTACTGTTGCCATTCTGATTGATTCCTTGCCCTTAACATGTAACCTGTTTCTTTCTCTCTGGAAAGTTTTAGCATCTTCCCTGGTGTTCTAAAGTATCATTAATGATATGCCTTGGTGTGGGCTGATTTTTATCCATTGAGTTGGATACCTTCCTGGGCCTTTTTAACATAGAAATTTTCATGCATTATTCCTTTGATGACTTTCTCCTCTCCATTTTTCAGTTTTCTCTTCTAGAATGTCTATTATTCAGATGATAGATTTTGAGGCTGATGCTCTGATCGTCTTTCTTACTGTCCAACATTACATATATTTGTTTTTTAACTCTACTTTTTGGGCAGTGGCCTCAATTTTACCTTCAGTTGCCTCCATTAAATTTTCATTTCTGCTATCATATTTAAAATTTTAAGGGTACTTTAAAAACAGTATATTGTTCTTTCTTTTAAGGATGCAATCTCTTAACTCTCAAAGATATTCATTCACTCATTTATTCGGAGGGGCAGGTTTAAAATCTCTTTATACAGTTTCTGGTTCCAAGTAGCTTTTGTCTGTTTGTATTGGTGAGGCTTTCAGGTGACGGACCCTTCCTAGTTGTCGGATGATCCTTGGCTGTTTGCGCATAGGTAAGACTAGAACACCTGTTATAGGTTATTTAGAAGCTTTGTGTACATTGGTGGGACTTATCAATTATGGTTTCAGTACAGGGAGATGTGATTGGACTTATTCGAGTTTTTTCTCTTGGGGGGGTCAGATTTTCTAGAGATGAATCTTCCAAACTCCTGACTGGAGTTGCCTTTTGGGAAGTAGCAAAGGAGAGGATCTCAGAGTCTAAGTATTTCTTATATAAATTTTAAACCAATCCTCCTGTTTTTAGTTTCATCTCTTCCCCCACTATGGGTACCTGGTGTCACCAATTACCAAGCTTTTCGAGGGTTCTGGGCTGCAAACACAGGGGCTATGCAGCTTTCCTCACTACTGGTTTAGGATTCAGCTTTAAGTCAGTTAAATCAGCTCACACATGCCATTCTGATTTCCGGCTTCCCCAAATTTTGTGGTTATTATTTCTTCCTTCTCCTATTCTTTGTCCTTGGGGTGTTAAGACTTAAGGAATAAAGAACCTGCCCCTCTCTGTCTTCTCTGCACTGGGAACCCTCTCCTGCCACAGCCCGTCGTCCCCTGTGCAAAGTTCGTCTAAAGCCACAGGGGACACTGACAGATGACAGCCTCGGCAGCTCGGCAGCCCCTCGTCCCCTGACCTCACTTATTCCCACCTGCAGCTTCCGAACCAGCACCATTTCAAGGGACATCCGCACAGCAGCCAAGTTCACTGGGGCTGGGTCTGCCATGGTAGGGGCGGCCGGCTCTGGGGCCGGAATTGGGACTGTGTTCGGGAGCCTCATCATTGGTTATGCCAAGAACCCCTCTCTGAAGCAACAGTTGTTCTCCTACACTATTCTGGGCATTGCCCTCTTGGAGGCCCTGTAGCTCTTTTGCCTGATGATGGCCTTTCTCATCCTCTTTGCCACGTGAAGGAGCCATCTCCACCTCCCTTAGGTCTTTCTCCCGTATCTTATCTGCCCCGCACGTTCTTTTTCCTGTACCTCCCCAGGCAGCCTGGGGAAAGTGGTTGGCTTTGGGTTTGACAGAGGGAAGACAAATAATGTATTAATAAGAAAAGAAAAGAAAAGGAAAGGAAAGGAAAGGAAAGGAAAGGAAAGAAAAGGAAAGGAAAGAAAAAAGAAAAGAAAAAAAAGAAACTCTAAACCCTTTATGATCATTTTACCCTTGTGAAATAGTGAAATATATTAAACTAATGCTACCAGCAGCAAGACCCCATAAATGACACTTAACAGAGCTTGCTCTTTCGGAGTTCTGATGGGTAGACTTTGAGTAGAGTGAGGAGAGGACACATTAACTTTGGAGTTCCGTCACCAAATCAGGAAGAGCCAGAAGAAACCATCTAGATGATGTTCTGAAGAATCAAGACCTGGGAGAAAAGAGCCTGGTGGACACTTTCCCTCCTGAAACATGACTGCCTAAGGTCTAACAACAGAAAGTCTTTAGAAGAGTTTGCAGACTCTATCAGCTAATGAGCCAGACTTACTACAGAGTAACTGCCTGGTCCTTCAAGATAAGAGGGAGAAAGACAAGCAGCTTAAATATGGCACCAAGGGGTACCTGGGTGGCTCAGTCGGTTGAGCATCTGCCTTCGGCTTGGGTCGTGATCTCTAGGTCCTGGAATCAAACCCCACATTGGGCTCCCTGCTCAGTGGGGGGTCTGCTTCTCCCTCTCCCTCTGCCCTTCCCCTGCTTGTGCGTTCTCTCTCTCTTTCATATAAATAAATAAAATCTTTAAAAATAAATAAATAATCATGGCACCAAAACAATAAACA